AAAATACCAAACAATTTTGTAACAATGTAAGGCAGGTAAAGGAAATAACATATTTTAAGGTAGGTAATGCACTACTGATCACCTTAATATCATTATAATTTTTGAGAAATGAAATGTTTATATTGAGGTATTTGGGAACAGTTAGACCAGTTGAAGTGGATTTGTTTGTTCGTCTTACATCACGATGTCGTACAGTTCCAGTTTTAATCTTTATCTATCTATCTATCTATCTAATCTATCTATCTATCTATCTATCTATCTATCTATCTATCTATCTATCTATCTATCTATCTATCTATCTATCTATCTATCTATCTATCTATCTATCTATCTATCTATCTATCTATCTATCTATCTATCTATCTATCTATCTATCTATCTATCTATCTATCTATCTATCTATCTATCTATTTATCTATCTATCTATCTATCTATCTTATCTATCTATCTATCTATCTATCTATCTATCTATCTATCTATCTATCTATCTATCTATCTATCTATCTATCTATCTATCTATCTATCTATCTATCTATCTATCTATCTATCTATCTATCTATCTATCTATCTATCTATCTATCTATCTATCTATCTATCTATCTATCTATCTATCTATCTATCTATCTATCTATCTATCTATCTATCTATCTATCTATCTATCTATCTATCTATCTATCTATCTATCTATCTATCTATCTATCTATCTATCTATCTATCTATCTATCTATCTATCTATCTATCTATCTATCTATCTATCTATCTATCTATCTATCTATCTATCTATCTATCTATCTATCTATCTATCTATCTATCTATCTATTATCTATCTATCTATCTATCTATCTATCTATCTATCTATCTATCTATCTATCTATCTATCTATCTATCTATCTATCTATCTATCTATCTATCTATCTATCTATCTATCTATCTATCTATCTATCTATCTATCTATCTATCTATCTATCTATCTATCTATCTATCTATCTATCTATCTATCTATCTATCTATCTATCTATCTATCTATCTATCTATCTATCTATCTATTATCTATCTATCTATCTATCTATCTATCTATCTATCTATCTATCTATCTATCTATCTATCTATCTATCTATCTATCTATCTATCTATCTATCTATCTATCTATCTATCTATCTATCTATCTATCTATCTATCTATCTATCTATCTATCTATCTATCTATCTATCTATCTATCTATCTATCTATCTATCTATCTATCTATCTATTTTTTATCTATCTATCTATCTATCTATCTATCTATCTATCTATCTATCTATCTATCTATCTATTTCTATCTATCTATCTATCTATCTATCTATCTATCTATCTATCTATCTATCTATCTATCTATCTATCTATCTATCTATCTATCTATCTATCTATCTATCTATCTATCTATCTATCTATCTATCTATCTAATCTTAATTCTCGAGAAATGGAAATGGAAGAATGATTGAGATCGAGATGAATGAAGGATATTAGAGAGAAATTAAATGAAGAAAGAGTTAGAAGAGACAGGTTTACAACAATTCAATTATTTAGCTCAGTGATTGAATAACCAATCAACTGTACCGTACAAATGTCAACAATTATCAAATTTACCTCTTCATCTTTCCTCTCCTCTCCTCTTCCTACTTCTCCTTGTCCCTCTACTCCCCATCTACCATCACTAGTGCCATCTTTTCCTCCACAATTTGACATAAATTTGTATTTTGCTTTATTGTTATTACTGTTATTGTATTTTTCAACTGCCTCTCCTACTAATATATTTTAGAATGTTGCAATTTGCATTTTATTATAATATTTCAATAGGCAAAATGATCTAATATTTCAGTGATTCAATGATACAATGTTAGAGGAAAAGGATGAAATTATATTGAAGTTCATCTTCATCATAAATTAAACAAATCACTGAATCATTATATTAAAGATATTGATAAGCGTATTATCATGATGACATCCTGTGCTATTGTTGGGATTTTTTTTTTTTCTTAAATAAATGTTTTACCTTAAGGTAATGATTTTCAATATTAATTTCAATCTTGCAAAGATAATTTCCAATTTCAATCTTTTCAATGCAAAAAAAATATCATTTTATTATTATATTGTTGTAATTTAGAATAATATTATGCGTAATATGATAATATGACATGCAATTGAACAAATTTAAATTTTAAATTTGACGAATTTGCTATGACACATAATTTTACTCCAACAAATTGGCCTATATTCATCTTTTCCTCCTCAAACAATAATATGATGAATTCAAACATTCTGCAATTATTATTGCTGAATGTTTGAAATAGAGTATTAGAAATAGCATAGCATGAGAGAGAATTTTGCATAAACATATATCAAATTGATATACAATTTTAATTGTTCATTATTATAGTTTAACTTTATTTACAATTTCTGAATAAATTTAACAATTTGAAATACTATCAAAAAAGAAAAAAAATTGACATAGTTTTTAATTTCAATTTTAACAAATACTTAACTTCATCCTATTATAATCATTTCACGTTATTCAAACAAAGATTAGCGTAAAATTTTGCAATTAGGAATGACCTAACAAGTTATCGTTTTGAATTTCAATTTAGATCAGTAAGGGAAGTGATGAAAGTTAATGATGAAAAGAAAAAAAAAACCAATTGTCAATGACCAGTAATTAACTCTTTCATGTTTAAAAAAATAGCATCAAATTACTTCTGTTATAACGATTCATTAATTTGACTGCTCGATAGTATAGGAATATTTGCAAACAATTCTTAATTACAAAAATTATAAAAATCTTATCATTATCAGTGAATGATTATATCAACTATTACTGTTGTTATTTTTACTATTATTATTTCTAGAGTATTAGTATTACTATTATTAATTACTGCTGTCATTATTATCATTGTTAATTATTACTAACAGCACCACTACTGCTACTACAAGTAATACTACTGTTATCATTCATTATCATTGTTGTTGTTATTATTGTTAATTACAATTTATTAGTGCTAAATCACATGCTTTTATCACTAATTGATAATCTAATCAAAATTATCTTCACTACTTCACTAGATATCGAATCAAATTATTCCAAAATGATTATTACGAATATAGCTATTGTAATAATGAATGCCTACATATCAGAAATTATCAAACTTTTTGAGAAAAAACATTCTCATAAAATTGCAAGAAAGTAGAGCTAATTAAAAAAAAAATATTTGAACAATGTCAAAATTTCTAGCTTTCAAGAAAATTTTTGTTTAATTTAACTAAATGTGTCAGTGATGAGTAAATCTATCAAAAAAAATCAACATTTTGCAGTAGGAGAGATTCCTCATACAAATAAATGAAATTGATTTTGATATACACATATGTATATATCCAATTTATTAATCGAAAATAAAGGTTTTGTCACTCTTTAAGATTTAGAATATTCCATAACATATTTTGTTATTTCTTGTAAGTAATTAAAATATTTCATCTTACATCAAATTTTGCTAATTTTTGCAACATTTTGTTGCATAATATAGGCTGGAATCAAAAAATTGATAATAAACTTTTCTATTATCACACATCAATCACATAATATTGTCTCTACCACAACTTCTATCACAGCTTTAATTGGCATTTTTAAAGAATTTTTTTATATTTTAACCAACATAATTTTCTTTCTCCTATATCTACTTTCATAATTTTATATTGAAATTGTTTCTGATATAATATTCCTTTGTTACCAAACTAATCTCTACAAATAAAGCTATTTGCCTTATATTTATCATTTTAACACTTAGAAATAAATTTTGTCGTCAATTAAACTGAAGGAAAAAATACAGAAATGTTGATAAATGTCAACTTCTTATATATTTTTACATTCCATTTAATTTTGACTAAAATTATCACTAACAATTCTTTCCTCCTATTAATTAAAATACGAAAAATTATATGATTGGATGACTGAGATGTCGAATCGTTTTAAGGATATGTGAAATTTTGACATGTAATTCTACCATATGAAGACATTTGAGAAGGAAGCACTGCAATTTTTCATGCATCATTAAAAATTGAATTCAATTTAAAATATCTTTAAAATGAAATACATTTATAAACAATTAAACAACAATACAAGTAGCAATTGATTCTTTAACAGATGAAAAGAACAGAAAACAGAAAAACTGAGGAAAACAAATGAACATCAACATCTGAATAAAATTTTATCAAAAGCAGAATTAAGTTTAATAGTATCAGAAATAAGCATGCATATGCTTGAGGCAAAAAATATTGCTTTTCCAAAATATTTTAATTAAAAATATGAAGAATTTGTGAAATTTAAACAACCTACCATTCTGGTAGACAATTATAGTTTGCTCACGAATTTTTTTTTTTGAAATGGAAGACTTAGAAAAATCAGTAAAAATCATCATTTGAAATTTTAAATTTCCGCAGTGAAACTGAGCAGAATGTAATGATAAAATTTTTTCACATATATTTTGAAAATTTGGATGAATGATAAAATAATTTTACATAATGCGAAACCCGTGTGAATAGAAATTGAGCAAGTAAGTTAAATGCAGTAAGTTAAATACAATGTGTATAATTAATTTATCATTACTATGACAATAAAATAATTCACCTAATAATAGATTTACTTTATTCGATTAGATATATTTTTATTGGTTACAATAAAACTTATTCTACACATTGTATTGTATTCTTCTCATACAATAGTGATAATAATAATAACAATAACAACAATACATAATAAATGTTCAACTTCTGTAAATTTCACAAAAACTGTTCAGTTTTATGCAGTCTTATTGGTATCATATCTTTTCTCTAGTATCCTTAATAACTTCCAGAATGGTTTGTGTGTTAATCATGATAGTGACTATTTCATGTAATTTCTGTTTAAAAAAAGTCATCCCAAAAAACAATCTTGAAAATTCATCTGTTCTATTTCTAGGTTTCTTTTCATCGTTTTAATTCATTAAGCTACTATGCACTAAATTCATCCAAGTAGAAGAAGCAGCACAACGAACTAATTCATTGAACTGCTCTCGTACTGAATGATCTGCTTCCATCAATAATGATCCAGATTCATTGCATTTACGCTCCTAAAAAAAAAAAAAAAAATACAATAATTCAGTAATAAATAATTCTAATTTAAACTGCGATTTTCTAAAATCAATTCCATCTTTTCTTAGCTGCTATATTTATTAAAAATGCAAATAATACAAAAACACTTATCAATTAAATAACTTTTTTTTTTTTTTCATACAGAAGAGAACGAAAGGATAATAGCTATTATTCTAAAGTTTAAGCTGTGAAGGTATAAGGAAAGTTTTATCTCTCTTCCTACCAATATTTATGATCTAAAACAAATTTTGTTCCTAACAAAAATCTTTTAAAAAGATAAGAGAAGAGAAAATACCTTTGCAAGTAATTTCATTTGTAAAGGTTCATCATTTTGAGCCGTGAAAAGAAATACGTCTTGTTGAGCTTCAGGAGTGATGATCACAAGATGCTGCAAATGTAATGTGCACTATCAAATTCAACTATTAAATTTATGATAAAACAAAAATTCCCGATAAAAAAATGTGTACAAATGAACTTTTGCCCCATAATGCTCATGATGTTAAACATCAGAAATTTTTCAGTTATAGTTAGTGCTATATTACACAGGAATATCGGAACTTCATGGATTATCTAATTGGTAAAATGTATCGTAATCTGATATTCAGTAACCGGATTTACAAAATTTTACAAATACTTCCTTCCCATATAAATTTTACTCAGCATCGCATTAACAATCAAAGTAATGAAATCATATTAATGACCAGTTAAACTAAAAATAAAGAAAATACTATTCTTTACGAAATGCCAACTCTCAAATCTTTGGATTTATGATATCGGATTTAGAATTTTAAATTTCGATTTGGAAAATCTGCAAATAGTCTGTAATAAAATATAATTCATTTTTTCCTTCTTACTATTTTTTTTTCACTTATCTTCTTCCTATTCTTTTCTTTTCTTGTGTAATTTAATATATTTCCTCCACTATCCACTTAATCCTAAATCAAGCTCAATTACTATGATCTGTGAAAACTCAAGATTTGATAAATCACGAAAATGTACTATAAGTTTTATAAAATAAAAATTAATGATTTCTAAAAGAAATACCTCCTTCACGGATGAACAGAATAATCGACATTTTTGCAGACCAAAATGTTGAATGAGCAATTTGAAGAAAAGTCCAGGATTCAGATTACTGACTAGTGATTCCAATAATGGTTCATAATTAGTCAATGATTCAGATTTAACATAACCCAATAAATTGTCTACATCTGTGGTTGTAAGAGATGTTGAAAGTGCTAGCCGTAATACTGATGTTATATCATTACTGTGACGAGCTAATAATTTCCATTGTTCGGTCACTTCAACAGTTTCACGTTTTGTCACATGTTTTTCCAACATGTCATCCCAAAGCTGAAATATAAAGCAAGAAAGGTAAGGTTAAAACTTTTTGGATGGAGATCATTATACTATGCAAAGTTAAACAATAACGAAAAAAAATTGATTCTATAATATATCTATATCAAGCATTAAATTAACACAAGTATTGAATGAAAGTTGTTTTAGCTTATATTCACTTTAGTTATAATAACAAATTAAAAATCCTTGGTACTGTAAGAAGTAATAGCATTTATATTTAAAGTAATAGCATTTAGCATTTATATTTATATTCACTTTAGTTATAATAACAATCAAAATGCTTAGTACTGTAAGAAGAAGTAAGAAGTAGAAGTAATAGTTTAAAAATATCAAGCAAAGTTATAAAAGTTTTGTAACTTTGGAAAAAAAAAGAAGAAAAAAAACATACATGATGTAAGAAAAGAGTAAATATAACTTTAAATTTACCTGATTTCTTTTGCAATGCCATACAGCATCCTCAATTATCATTTGTAGCTTACGTTTATAATGCATTACACTATCTTCCAGTTCTTTTTGCAACCTTTTCTGCCGTCTACTCATGTAATAGATGTAAAATGCTTGTTCACGTGGCACTATCACAGGTGGATCTGATAGTCTTATACCACCTGTGAAAAAGAAAAAAAAAACAAATTTGAGCAAAATTACATCAAATTCTATCTTCAAATTTCACTTTGTAAAAAAAAAAAAAATGTTTTATGATCGCTATATATATATATATACATCTTTTAATGGATGTCAAATACGGTGCAATTTCCGGAAAAACATTTACCTCGAAAATTTGGTCGTATCTTGCGATGTCTCAAAGGTGCATTGTTTAGAATAGATAATTTTTGCGCTTTTGCCTTTGGTGTCTGAGTTTTTTCATCTGACACTGAATGACATTCATCTAATTTCATTCCTACAAAATTTGACAGCATTTTTCTAAAATATAAATCAATAATAAAAAACTGAAAAAAATCAAATAAGAATGATCTTAATAATAAATCCTTGCCATAAATACATGTAAATATACTTTTTTCTAGCAAAAAAAAAAAAAAAAAAACATAAGCGCTCACAAAACGTCCTTTTCAACATATTATTTTAGGAACATACTTTCTTCTTTGAAATAAATAAAACCTTTGTTTTATTAAACTAAACTAGAAGTAATTAAATAGATGGAAAAGGAAAATTTTTTCTAAAACATTTTTTTCTAGCAAAAAGCATTAAATGCCAATATCATTGGATCATAACAATATGAATAAGCAAACTCCAAATTCTTGTACTAACCATTTGAATAATTGCGTGGAAGTGTTGCTTCTTTTGGTGATCCATTATTGTCGCCACTATGACATCTTCGTCTGGTATGAGTGGTCGGTGCACACCATGCATTGTTGGAATTACTATATAATTTTTTACATTGATAATTTTAGATTAAAAATAAACGTCAAATGTTAAGGAGAGATTAATTTGAAAAATTATAACCAAAATTTCGAGTGAATTATGCAAATGATGCGTTTGAATGTGTGGATATTGGTAATTCACCGATTTAAAGAATAATCGGAATTAGGCTTTCATTTTTATAAAGTCTCGATAATTACAGCACTTTTGCAACAAGATAAGAGCAAACAAAAATGGAAAATAGCCCGCATTGTTAATGTGATTCTCAATTAACATTCTGAATTTCTATGAAATAACCAAATGTAATTCGAATTAAGTTAAAAATTGACTTACTTCTGTGTTACAATGCCTTCGGTACTTTTTCGATAGCTATCCGTATTGCAGTCTACATTCAAACCGAGTTTTTTAAATTCACCACTTATTTTTGCATTATGTTTACAATTTGCATCTGGCTCCAAATTCTCGACTAGTGGATCAACTAAATGAACTTGATCAAATTCTATAAAAAACTAATACATATAATCAAATATTTTTTCAACAAATAATAATAATTTCCAACAAATAATAATAAGAAGCATAAAATAATAACATAATTCATAACTGAGGCATTAAAAAAAAAAAAAAAGAGAAAAGAAAAACTAACTTATTTCATGCGAAACCAACATAACATAGAATTTTATATTCAGTGTTTTTGTAGCATAAAGTTGATTTTCATGAACGATTGTTCGAATTTCCTTATAGGCGAATCCAAAACACTCCTAAAGTATTCAAAGAAGAAGTTACAAAAAAAAAAAAAATCAATGAAAAATTTTTATAGAAGCGAAAAAAACGTCAAAGAAAGTTTTTACCGTATCATCTTCCGCAACAATCATAAATTGTCCAGGCATATCCATTTCAATTGTTTTCAAACGTACTATACGCCAGTTATGACGTTTTTCATCCAACAGATATTCCCAAACTTTCTGGTTTGTTACGGGCAGATTAGGAAATGTTATCTGGAAATAAAGATTTAAATGATTAACATTTTCATACATATATATCCATAAAATATCGCTTTTTCATACTTCTTTAACTATGGTTAAATAATATAAATATGCAGAAAATTTTTCTAATTTCCGATAAACTTACTTTTTCTTCATATATACAGTTACAAGCATAAGGTGGACGACAATTATAGTACTGCAAAAAATCAGTTAAAAACTCGTTCGTATTGTATCCGTAATTGAAAAGAACCTGAAAATGACACAGTAGAATATTTATTTGTATCTTCACTTGCTATCTTCAAGTATTCAGATCATTATTGAGGATATGATACACAACATTCTCCTAACTTCGCTAAAATGTTTTTTTTTTTTTTGAATATTTGTCAATTTTCGTGCCAGATATGAATTTTATACGTATTTATCAAAGAATATTAGAATGTAAAATGATATTTAACATCGTAATCCGTACAGTCTTCATCAAATTATACACTGTCACCTTGATCTTGTGAATAGTAAACAATTTCATACAATGACTCTAAATAGAGTTAATTTGAACATCATCCCATCAAACTAATAAGAAGTAAATAATTTTTTATACCTGCTGTCCACCAATTAAATATGTAGCAACCATACGTAAATGGAAATCATAGGTAAATGAATGAACGTGAGCCTTTGATATAATGCTATCCTTCAATGCATAAAGGTCTCTTTGATCATTATAATCGAAATTCTTATCACACTTTATTCTTAATCGATTTAACTGTGCAACATTCCAAAGCAAATATTGAACACTGAAATTTCAAGATTTTGATAAATCTTTTGAAAGAATGTCGAAAAAATAATTCAAATATTTGTCGATTTTTGTGCCAGATATGAATGTCAGAACGGCAAGCTTGTTGAAAGTTTTTCGAAAACTCATATGCTTAGTAGATTACTACATTATTGCATGCTGATTGCTGCATGTAAAAGATCAAAATAAATCTAACTAAACGGTAAAAATTAAGAATGAATGGTTTTTCGTAAATATAAAAATTGAATTCAGTTTCAATAAACCTGAAATGTGGCTCAATGATTGTAATGTGAACGAATAGAATACCACCGTCATAAGCTTTATACATCCATACGTTAGGTGATGATTCGGTATTCTGGAATTTAATAAACTGATATAACGGTTATATCAACTATCATCTAACAGTATCTTATTAAAAAAAAAAAAAATGGAATTAGACAATTTAAAATTAGATAACTTAAAATTAAAACAAAATTATAGAATTCGTTATCAAAAAAATATACCTGCATATCATAGTGCAAACTGTACCGAGCACTCGCTTGTCCTGTTATATGTGTAACGTCCAACAATCTTAATCCATTTTTTGTTAGATATTTCACATAACTCTAAAAAAAAAAACTTAGTAGGTCAATGTTCATCAATTTTCAAAATAAAAAAATGCTGGTAACTTTATATTCATCTCACAAATTCAGCATATTTTTATAATTTCAATTGCATTTATCTTTTTGCAGTCTAAATATCAGAATTTACAAATTCACAAATTAACTAAATAACTAAGATCCGCAAACATAATAAATATTACTTAAACAAGAAAAAAAATACAATTTATTCATCGTTAAATAGAAATTTTTCATTGTTATGAATATTTGAAATAGCTCGTCAACATCAAAAGCTTTTTAAAACAAATTTAAGCAAATATTTTGAGGAACTTTATGAAAAAACAATCTGACAGAAGCATTCACCTCAACAAGCATAAACTGTATCTTCAGGCAACACGGTTCATCCTCTTCTAAATTTTTTGTTAACTTTCGTAAAGTACGATCTGATGAATGCAATAATGCACTGAAGGTATTTGAACGCGTTGTGCGCACCTATAAAGACTCCTACTAAAATAATAGGATATACCTTACATTACTTTAGAACACAACATCTGAAGGAATTGAATAATTCTAGCATATTTTAATTCTTATATAGGTAACTTCATTTATTGCTTTTCTTACTTACTGTAGAATCTAAAGTAATGTCAACAGCAGCAAAGTCTTTGCCCAAAAAATTTCAAGTGTTATCAATGTTTCAATTATTTTATCCTTCATAAGTTTTATTGTGCCTAAAAAAATGAACTGAATCTTTTAAGAAATTCTAATTACTATTAAGGATCAAGCTTCAATCTGATTATAAAATTAATTATCGCAAAAGATTCGTTTCATCTTAAACACCTGCTGCAGTACAAACTAATCTAAATAGCAATACTGATCATCATTCTGAACATATCAGTAGTGTCTGGAAAAAGATTTATTTGGGACAGGTTTTATTTTATCTTTAGGTATCCTAAAACCAACACATTTAAAATACAGTTCTTTTTTTTCAAATCCCAATTTTTTTTGCCAATTGCATGATGAGTCAATCACCAAATATTTTTTGTTTATGCCATTACGCTAAATTATACTAATTACTTCCTCTTTTCTCACACACCAAAAAAAATTAATCTTATTACCAATCTTTGTTTTATATTTATGGAAATGATTTCCACCGAATTTCCGGCTGTCAGTTTAGTTCTGAATATAAAATAACCAATCTTGCCCACTAACCGTCATTTCATTCTATGTTTTTGGGTGGTTTTTGGGGGTGCTTTAATAATATTTTAGTATTTTACAATTATATTATATCTATTCGTTATAATATTGATTTTACGTTAATTTTTAATGTTGATTTGTTGGTTTAATTACCCAAATTTGAGCTCGGCAAAATAAAATATCTGACAGTCAATAAATTCCACGACAGAGTTTTCGGTATCTCACCTCGGGCATCAAAAATATAGAATGAAATAACAAAAAATGATAATATAAAATGATTTTAAAAAATACAAAAAAATGATAATATTTTAGTGTACTAAAAATAACGTAAAATCAACATTATAACGAATAGATATAATGTAATCGTAAAATACTAAAACAATATCAAAATACCTCCAAAATCCAAAAACATAGAATGAAATAACGGTTAGTGGAAAGGTTGGTTAGTTTATATATAGAACTAAGGAAAGCCGATGAAAATCATTTCCATGAATGTAAAATAAAGATTGATAACAAGATTAGTTCTTTGTTGCGTGGAAAAGAGGAAGTATTTAGTATAATTTAGCATAACGGCATAGATTAATTACAAATGCAAAAATATTTGGTGATTGATTCATCACGCATCTGGCAAAAAATATTAGGATTTGAATGTAATTTAATATGTGTCGTTTTTACGGCACCATAAATGTTGTTACGATGGACTTACATGTGACACTGATGAAGTGTTTTCGAGAAGTGACGCTTTCGAACCACTGACATGCCTCGATGGTAAATCGGCTATCACTGCCTGTTTAAAACTGAAACGAAAGATTTTAAAAAATATAATTTCAATTCTAAATTCAAGAATGATATATAAAAATATAATTCAATAACTGCAAATTGCATTTAAGTTGATTTTAAGTAATAATTACTTTTGATCGAATTCATAAACTGATTTGCTGTTTAAATTCAAAAATCAATCAGAAAAGTTAAAAATATATCATGTTCTCTGCTCAAATAATCTCTGTTGCCAAAATTAAAGTTGTTCATCTTGAAAAAATTGTTACAAATCATAATTGAACTAACAAAAAAAAGTGAAAAGATAAAAATATTTTTACCTCATTGCATTTTCCGTTCCTCTTCGAACAACTGCTACTAATTTACGCCATTTTGGAAAAAGTAACAGAGGTGATCGAACAAAATGTACTATCCGACTATGAGAAACAATTTTCAGTAAATCAGATTCTCTGATTTCATGGGTTCCACTCATCAATTCACTGTGTATCCGATTGAAGTTCTCACAATTGTGAAGCATTGATTTCATCTATTATTTATAAAATAAAACTCTATTATTTATAAATTTATTATTTGTAAAATAAAACATTCATTATTTATAAAATAAAACAAGTGATGGAGCACTGAAGCATAATGACGCAGTAAATTGTTTAGGAAATTAAAAGCTCGCATTTAGACCATAAATCTCGAAATTCATTAAAACATATCGAAATAAGTTAAAAAGCAGGATTTATTAAGATCTCCTAACTAAAACGTATAAAGATTTTCCCATTTAATAGAAATTTCGCGAATTTTCAAAATCTTGAGTTCCTATTTTTGCCAAAATCTAGATATGCAGATAATTAAAAAGTTTCATTTCATGCTAATAGAAAAAAAGATTTCAAAAACTTTCGTTTTCAACATAGTGCATAAGACAAAAGATAAAAAAAGTCGTTTTCCACCTCATAAAAGCATTATAAAACCAAAATTTTCAGACGAAGCAATTTCTCAACCTGTTATCTGATAATTTTTTTTCTAAAATCTCACACACTTATCAAAATAAGCAATTGATGGAAATACCATTTTTTCAAGGAAAACCATCTGAGAGCACTGATCTTCGAACAGGTTGTCACTATTCAAATTAAGTGGTAAAAAAGCCAAGGTTGTATGCCGATAGAGATGCATTAATGGTTCAGCTTGGATGTAATGCGTTCCGCTCACTAATCTGTAAAAACATATTTCAAATCTTTCCATCAAACACCGGTAATAAATCTGTTTTGTTGATTATTTAGTGCATTGTTTCGTTTACTTAGCACATTGTTTTGTTGATTACTTAGTACATCAGTATATTTGGTCTATGTATAACTTGCAATTTATATGTGCACACAATTTTTGAATTGTTGCTTAAATCAAAAAGTAAAAATATTTTTAAAAAATGGCTACATATACAATTTGTATGTGATAGTCTTATTTACATCAAAATATATATGTATATTTTTCGTTGCACTTAAAAATATATTTCAGGTTGCAGAAAACAGCATATTTTCTGGACCATAAGAAAACATGAAATAAGATAAAATTTAGTAAACAAAATTTACAAGAGCTTGCAATTTAAATTTGTTAGTTATTCAAATTAAAAAGTTAAGATTTTTTTAAAATAATAAAAAAAAAAAGTTTGTTACTGTGTCACTGTCACATAAAGGAATCTTATATCAGATTTATAGTAAATCACATTGCTTTTTAACTTATCCCAGTTTACCACAATTGAAGAAGAGTAAGTTAAAAAAATGATAAGGTAGGATAGTTATTGTACTCTGAGCTTTACTTCTACAAATAGTTTCTTGAAATATTCATCAGATTCAAGGCGATTTTTTTTCCAAATTATTAAGCAGACGAATTTATTTGTCAATATATATCTTACGATATGTTGCTTTTAAGATGTCCTCCTTTGATGACAACTATATGTGACAACACAAAGTGTGTTGAATTTACTTCAAAACGAAATTTTAAGATGCTATAAAAGTTTCAGAAATATTTGAGTTTGTTAATAAACTAAAGTCAAAAAGTTGCTTCCAATCAGAAAGGTACCTTTTATCGAAATGAACAGATCCATGCTGTGGAATTTCATATTCACTCAACAGCTCACTATTTAGCCAAACCAATTCTTCACTTGTTGGAGTAATTCGACCAGATAAATGTGTTACACCCATTTTATGTAAACCAATTTCTCGAAGCAATCTTGATCGGGCATTCTGCCACGATAATACATTTGCGACCATCTGATAAACTTGTTCTGCGGCATCCGACGAATAATTGTACAGATATAAGGTTGCCTATTAAATAAATTTGCTTCATAAACTAATGAATTATAGTAATTTGGAAGTTAAAATTTAAAAATTTTAGCAAAACAGAGAGAAAAACTTGAAAAACAAAATGAGATATCTTATAAAACCTTCCAAAAATTTCTTGCAAAGCACAGTTTATACAGCACATCAAATATTTCTTAAAAAAAAGAATTCGTAGTTTCCTATTTCGATCTAAAACAAGGAAAATTTGAAAATATTGTCTTATCTAATTGTCTTTATCCATTCGATCATTGTTTCTTAAATATTTAAGTTGGATATTACAAAATTTCCCGATTCTAATCCAAATAAAAATTTACGAAACAATTTTGTTTTGCAAAAAAAATGTATAAATTACAGTTTCACCCTTCGACAATAGATATAACAGATGCTGTCTTGGAACAAATGGAGCTATTTGTGGTAAAAAACGCATTGAGCTAGCTGAAAAGTAAGGTAATTAGCAGTAGTTTGTGATAACTGGAAAAATAATCATAGTTGTTCAATGACAACTACTTTACTACTTTATCCAATTGTTTGTCATAAATATAGCCAAGCCTTAATCAAATAAATTCTCCGCAAACTATTTTAATAATTTAATCACCATTTTTAATTTTAATAATTTAATCATTTTGATAAACCATTAAGCATCCGCTGATTTGATGGAGACAAACATAATTTCATTATAATTAACATAATAAATCTCAAAATTAATGGATAATGATGATAACTTTCGACAAAAAAAATACTCAGACCTTTTTGGTCATGTAAGATTTCTTCCACAGCTGTTGGTATAATATTTGAGCGTGAATCTGCGCCATATTTTAATATTGCCTCTGAATATTGGTGATTGTAAGCAAGCATTATTAGTGAAGGTTCTTCATTTTCGCCCGCAATTATTCGACCACTATCATTCTGAAATATAAAAAAAAAATCTTTTTTGGGGGTCAATGTTGAAATTAATAAAGACAGGAATAATTTGCGATTTCAACTGGTAATCGATGAAAATTATAACAATCAATCGATCAGTTTTCTTTTCCCTTCTTAACCAATTAATTAGGCCATGATATGATAAATTTGTTGAAAATTAGGCAAAGAAATGCAACAGAGAAAAGTAAAATTTTTAAACATGGAATTTCCTAAAAAACAAAGGAAGGAAATTAAAATATATATATATATAACAAACACTAAAAGTTATGATATCATCATTTGACGAGTTTTGTGCTGAAAAACGCTTTGAACCATGCGCATCTAGTTGGCATATTATGATGGTTTCGCGCCTCAGAATAGCAGATAATTTATCCTGTATAACGTTGAAGATCTGAAACACATAATGAATAGTAATGAATTTTCAAATGTCTCGATAAGAAGCAGCAGCTATAGCTGATCATCTATAAAAAGCATTATGATTTTAATAAATTCTTTGTGATGCTTTCTTTACCTTTATCTAAAGGTTAATAGTGAATTCAAATGGAAGAAAATCTTTAAAATTACCATTACATGATTACAGTATAATGCCATATAAATTTTGCACTATAACTTTATGTATAACTTACGTATTAACGCAATACAAGAGCACTTCATACTATTTGATGCATACTTTCACTAAACAAATTTCGAATAAAATTTTATATTTCACCTTTCGAACAGAATGATCGCTTTCACAGTGAAATGTGTGTCTTTTCACGGAAAATTGATGCTCCGTATTCTTTACTTCCGAAACAACATGATCGAACCATTGTGCAGCAACCATAATAAATTGATAATTGACTGTGACATTTGATTCACAATCATTGCTGTTTGCAGAACCTAACAATGATCATAGCAGTAATCTTTAATTAATGAAACATTTAATATATATATATATATATATAGAAATAATTTTCCATTGCTTTGAAGATCTCATCTTTTCGATGTACAAATAGATCAATAAATAAAGTACTTTGAAATTAAAATTCAATACTATCCTATTCTAATTTATCCTTTTCTAATCCATTTTCTCACCATGCTACTCCAATCGATATGACATTTGGTGGGTGAATTAATTTGAAAAATAACAGAATGAAAATACTAAAAACTTAAATTCTCATAGAACTTTTTAAAAGTTGTTGTCTGAAATTTTGAAAAAAAAAACTGTATGAAAACAAAACATTTTATCCACAACAAAAGCAATACTTTTTGATTTGCGAACAACTGCTTGTTGCGACAAATGTTCTAGGAGTGGTGGTTGTACATGCGATTCAGTTTTTCGAATTGGCTTTGCCACAATATTTAAATGTGATGCGTCACTACACGATCTTATTCTGAAAGATACGTAAAGTAATTCTAAGTTCGTGTTCTGTCCAGTTTGTAGGGCACATGTTTAGTTTGAAAATAAGCAAACAGAATTCCTCCCCAATTCCTCCCATGAGGAAAAATCATTTCTCTAGATCAATTTATTACTCTTAAATTTTAATTGGGAAATAAGACAACCACCTTTCCTCACTTGTAACATATGGCACGATCAGAGTATTTGAAGATGAATATCGAGTGTTGCTAACAAGTTCCACTAAAGGAATACTTAAAAGACCAAATTCAGTTATTAAATCACAGAGCGCCTGAAATCTAATGGCAATATCAAGTGGAAATGTACATCATAAATCAGCTGAAAAGAGAAATTGAAACATGAAATAGATAATTTGAATAAAAATTCTTACCACAACATAAACAGTTAATTTACTGATAAACTCGACAATCAGTATTTAAAATTTCTTTAATCAAAATGAGAACATCATCTAGAGGAGACATCACAGAAAGTTGATACAGAATATCCACTATAAATTGCAATCAGTAAGAAATTACCTGCTGTAAAGCTAATCGAAATATTGGTTGTAAAGTTGCTAAGCCAACATCGCCCACTTGCCAAATTGTATACTGAACCAAATATGATACGCCACCTAAAGCATAATTGCTTATCATGAAAATTTGCTAAATTTTAGAATTTCAAGATAAAAGGTAGCAAAGTATAAAAGCAAAATGAAGTAATCAAAACCCTAAAAGTTCCATATTTATGGACAAATCCATAGAATTATCGACTAGAATCTTCCAATGCCAGAATCAAAAACATAAGGTAAAACTTACTGAAAGTTACATATTTCAAGCAACAAATTCCACAAATTAATACATTGAAAAAACCTCTATACCTGTTTTTTCGGAAAACAATGAATCCGGCAAAGGGAGTGATGTAGTGATACAACGCGTCAGTTCATGAAAACGTTCATTTGATGAAAGACGAAATTTACCACCACCTGGATATAATTTCGAGTGAGTGCTTGGGCTGATTCGAGCATACTTCAGCGAATCGATGCAAGTACCACTGGAATTTACTATGCGTGTCTCAACACAAGCAATTCCTGAAGAAAACTCTTCCAGCTTAATCAAAAAAAAAAACACCTTCAGTAGTTTAATATTGTTAATATACAGTAAAAAAAAAAAAAGTAAACAAATGTAAAAAATATATATTCTCAACAAACGCTTAAAAATAGAATCTGTATTGAAAATCGGCAACTGATTTATGATGCAATTTACAATTTTCATTTCGATGAAAATAAAAAATGAAAACCAAAAATCTATCCGTCGCTAACAATTATTTAAAAAGAAAAAGGCAATAAATACCCATATTTGATGAACCCTTTGTCGGTGGCCTGCTTATTAGAAAGAAATGTGGAATATAATTATTGCAAGCCGTTTGAGAACCGGGCAGAGAATGGAAACGTTCGTGTGACAGTGGACTATTTCTGTTCAAACCTCCGCTACAGTCCCGAAATCGAGCTCCTGCTGTGAATGTAAGCATTTGCTGGTACATGTAATAGTAGAGTGATCCCAGATAACCATAAATATAGTTCGGTAAAGTGCAGTAATGTACTGCAAATGGCTTAGCCGGATCTCGTTGAATGAACTGGGAAAAAGATAAAATAAGTGGAAATGAAAGTTAATTTAAAACCTTTAAAAAGAACAATTGAAAAGCAAAGGTTATAGTCTTGCAAAATTTTTCTAATTTGTTAATCTTCTTCACAAATGCAAGATTTCAAATCCATATTTCATATCCGTAATCAGTTAAACTATTTAGCCTCATTGCTCAAACGGTAAAATTAATAATTTCATAATAAGGTGCATAACAAAACCGCTAACTGATTAAGTAATTTTATTTGTTTCAATATATCAACCATACTTCGATATCAGCTGCCGTTAGTCGTATTCGGGGATTTTTGTATAAAATATCGGTTAACTCTTCCAAAACTTTTAATTCGAGTCGCTTCTGCATAGCATCCACAATTGATTGAATTATTACGGTAGGTTCATGAATTCCGTGTACTGTCAGTAGTATATTATTTTGAAAATTTTCACTCATCTATAAAAAATGCGAAAGCAAAGCAAATTTTTACCACTCAGGAATAAATTTTATATATCTAATGAGACAAATATATACTTTTATGAGATAAGGGAAATTCATCACCAGCACTGAACAAGTTTTTAACAGTTGTCTCTGAAATTGGCAAGATGCTCTATATATAAGATTTATAAAGCTATGATAAATAGCGGTGACTAACCTCATCGATAAAAGTTGTATCACAATGTAAGCATCTTTTTCTAAAACTTTCTTCACTAGCAAAAAGCTGCATGTAAAATACATTTCGTTTGTTATCTTCACAACAAACATAAAGGTTACGACGATTTCGAACTGCAAATTGTTCAATTCCTTGGCGCAAAGCATCATATCCCATTACTAAAAATATTACAAAGAAAATAAATACTTGAAATGAGGTTTAACGAAATAATAATCCACAATACACATACTTCGAATCAGTTTCTCTGTGTAAAAGTACTTTTTTTTAGGACTTTTAGAACTCTGCGACATAATCCTTGTTTTCTTGTTTTCTTGCTTTTCACAAATGTCTCTTTCATTATGAATTTCATTTTAGTTTTTTTTTTTCCTAAAAACTTCCAAAACTGTTTTTTCCTAAAAACTTTCAAAACTGCTTTTATTAGTAAAGAAAAATCACCTAAGGAGCATCCTGCTCCTTTCTTTTCGATGTGTAACCGAGGATGTACGTAAAACCAATGATGCGTTACGATTCGACAAGCAAAATGACCAGGAGGATAAAATACCCGTGCTGGCATATATGGTGCAGCATCCATTTCATCCTCATCGGAATCTGAAAAGAAAAGTATATTTTTAAGAGGGAAAAAAAATACATAAACTTAATGATAAGGAAAAATGATAAATGATAAAGAAATGATAAAGAAAAAGCTCAGTACGTAAGACCAATTTCAAGTGCCATTTAAAACAATGAGAAAAGGAAATTCTCTTATCACTTAATTTAATCTTTTAGATAAGAATTCATGTTTTCAGATGCTCTGAAATCAAGCATACATACACTTCAAATCAAAGATACAAACAAGTTGAACTGAATTATCTTTTTTTGCAAAGCAATCAAAGGTCATTCCACTTCCACAAAAACGTAAATATCGACATGATACCTTATCTAATAATTGAGCAATTCAAATATATTTATAATTATAGTTTGAACCTGAACACTTTTAAATATTGATTTCAGTTATGAATCCGAGTAGAAAGAGACCCACTTAGTGTGATATTCTGTCAAAGCTTTAAATTATCTTCCTTAAGCCTATCTAACTAAAGATTAAAAATAAGTTTTGGAAGCTTACATGAAAAACTGAAATTCTTCTTAGCCCTCGGTGCTGTACACTTATTTATCAAAGAACGAGTTAATTTTGTATCAGGGATTGAATCATGCAAATCTGACGGAATAAATTTATGCGACTCTGTTTCATTCTCGATTAATAAATCATCGCATTCGCTAATTGAATGCATTTTTTCCAGTAAAAGCTCCTGAAAATGTGGTCTTATTATTTTTGCTAAATTCTCAAATAAATTCCATAAATTTTGATATATTCTCGAAAATCTTAAATGTATTAAAGAGATCACAAGGAATTACTTACCACTGAAACAGCCTAAGGAACCTGACATGGTAGCTGATTGTTATGGTAATGTAGCATGACCAGAGGACATACAATGACTTAATATTACGCTTTTTCAAATTGTTAATTAAAGCTCAAATTTATTTATATATATGAAAAGCATTTATGGCACTACCTGATTGATGGTATGACATTCTTTCTGTATTGCTTCCAAAAGAAGCCCAAAAATTTTTTCATGATGATGTGCATACCTAAAAGGAAAGAATTTGCTAATAATAAAAAGATAAACCGAAATAAGAATCCAACTGAAGTCATCTAGTCTTTCTGGATTAAATAAAATCATATGAACTTAAAAATGTAACATTTTCATGGACTTAAACTGAAGAATGAAAGAAAAGTAAATGGTATTATAAAGTATAATCTTGCCTTTCACAAAAGAATGCTTGTATCTGTTGCATTTCAACATTTAAAATAATCCAGAAATCACGCAGCTCATGATCATTATAACAAGTCCGTTCTGAAGATTTTTCTAACTGTGAACTATGATGAGGATATCTCTTACAACAGCAGATATGAAGATATGGCATTATATATTGCCACTTGATAGTCACTACTTTTAATTTTGGCATTCCAAAGGGCTTACCACTAGTGTAGAGCAAAGACTATTGTTACAGTTCATATGTTATAAAATTTCATCTCAGAGACAAAGATTCTGTCATAAAATCATTCCGAATTAAACATACATATACCTGCAATTCCCGAGTGATATGCATAATCTTCGGAAAGTCTACGATCAGCTTTTAAAACCGGTACACTGCTATCTCTGCAACTTGGACCAATGTATTACAAAAGGAATTTTCATATTGAATTCACTTGTTAATGACTGAATCACAACTAATATGAAATCGAAATTTTCGGAAGCTTATAATAAAAATAGATCATACCTCCGTTTTGTTATTTTATCTCGTGAAATCTTGGAATTCAATACTTCCATACTTGAAACTTTCCTTGCTAATGTCAAGCTTTTCTGCTCTTCGATACGCTCTGTGAAGCTTCCGCTACTTCGTCGTGAAGACTAAATTCATTGGTTAGTTTTATACAAGGCACACAAACAGGAAATACATGAACGTGGAAAATTTTTTAAAAAAAGCACGAAAAACTTCTATTTTAGAATCTAAAAATTTAAAAAAAAAAAAAAAAAAAACTACCGCATCAATGAGGTGAAATTAAATTTAGTTCTAGAACTTCAAAAACATACAAGTAAAATGAAAAGCATTAATTAACGAAATAACAACCTTCAGTGTTACATTAGCTGCAGTACGCATTTGCATCCTCAACGTATCTTCATAAAGGTCAACATCTTCCACATGACAGCAATAAAACAAGTTACTGGATTCCGGATGCGCTTCCAGTTTACAGTAGAGCAGATTAAAATTTTTAATACGCTCTTTTAAACGACGTACAGCTTTTACCTGTTCCATTACCATAACAATTTGCAGTAATTTTACTTTGAACCGAATCGTATCATTCTTTTCACGTTGCTAAAATAGTACGACATATTATCCTTAGTCGTATTGTGCTTTTCAGTCTTACAGTTAGCCATCATTTCAAGTTGCATTATCATGTCGCTCTTCATATACATATATCTTTTAAAATATTAGAAATTTAATTCGATTTTTGTCATTCATAATATTTTTATTAGTGCCGCTGATTTCCTTTTCATAAAACATCTGGACCTAAATTTTTCAAGAGGGGTTTAAAATTTTTAATTGATCAGTTACGAGATGAATAGTTAATTTGGCAGCTTACATTGGAGCCTATTGCAAGAAAAAAAAAAAAAAAAAAACAACGAATTAGATAAGCTAAATACAAATGAGCCTGACAAAAAACATTGTGATCCATTTAAGTTTCAAAACAAAATTATCGTTGACTTGCAAAAAGTTACTTAGTAACACGAACTGTGCAATTATTGAACAATTATAAAATCAGCCATACACCAATAATAAGATTAAATCATTCTTCAGGTTTTAAAATCAACGTAGTTTTTACGAATATAAGGTGCCAGTAATTTGCAAGAGTTACACTATGCACTAAATATACGATTTCTCAAATCTAGTACAATACATAAAAATTAATGCATAAATTTAATATTCATCAAGTTTAACTATTTGAAATTAAAACCATTAATAATTCAAATTTACCTCTTTGGCAATGAATACCATTACTTTGTGCATTGTGTCAAGCGTCACATCGTCATATCTTGATAACACAAACACTGTTTCCATGTGAAGTAAACGTGTAATTCCGCATTCTAACCGACGAACTGCTTCGTTTTCCTGAAATAGACTTAAAACCAGTAAAAAAATTTCCACTGAACTGATCGAAATATCTGATCAAAACAGCAAAACAAAAAGGACATTTACCGGACTTGGTAGTTGGCTGATAACATCAGAAGTTGTTGTAGAATAAGGGCTATCGAAATCAAAATAAGTAGTAAATTTGTGAAATGATTCAGACTTATCCGGCGTTTTTGGTGTAACTGTACATGAATCAGACTGTGTTAAAGTGAATTGTCGCATAGGCCATGACAAAACATAGATATCAAACGAAATTCCAATTAAATCCATTGCTAAAATTATGTTAGGTGCTTAAATTTTAATTTGAAACACTTCAAAAACGATTACATTTGCAGTTAGCAATTTGATTTAATGAAAATGGATATGTGTATACATGATTCAAAGTTTTATTCATATTTGCTACTGATTTCTTTCAAATTGTTGCTTTTTCTTTACTTTTTTTATAGTAAAATAAAAGAATTGTTTTACTTTAGACAGTGAAATTCAAAATAATTTTCAAAATAATTGCATAATATCAGCAACAGTAAAGGAAAAAGAAAAGATATTAGATCAAATTCTATAATAAAAAAAGTTCCAAATTTACCTGTAAAATTTTTTTTTGAAATATTTGAACATTGCTTTAGTAATTGCATAACACAGGATGGTAAGTGATCGATGGGAAATGTATACATATCCATGTTAGAAAAACGTACTGCACAAGAAAAATTCAAGAATAACGGTACGGCAGCATTATCACTCAAATGTAATGTTTCACCAACTGATAACTCAGATGTAGTAACTGATTCGAAACTGATACTTGATTGGTTACTTCTTGCACTATCTAAATAAAAAATGTAAGGACGAAAAGAAATTTTTACTATAAATTTATAAAGATTTAATAAGAAAATGTTTCATTTAAATTCATAAATTCTGATTACCGTCTTCTCTTTCTTTCATATCTTCATCATCTTCAATATAGCAAATTTCCAAATCTTCACAAGGTGAACTACCACTATTAAAATTCTTCGTTTCAGGCAAATTTATTGTTAAATTCTGGAAAAAAGAGAAAATGTCAAGAAACTGATAACAATCAGATCAAACAACCAGTTGTTTAACAGATCTCATTCCATTATCAGCAATTTTACATATATATTATGATTAATTTATAATTCTCGCATTTTCAACTTTAAGAAAATATGGAAAATAAGACACATTTAAAGTAATAAAACAGTTTCATTTAACAGTAATAAAATAGTTTTATAAACTCGTCGAACAAAATTTAAGAATAGCAACAATTTTTGTTATATTTAACTTTATACGCTAGCTACCATAATTATAAGAGTCATGAAGTATTCTTCATATGGCAGTCTAATGCTGAAAAACAACAGATGCAGTATGCAAAAACAAGTTGCAGAAAGGATACATTCTATAAAATGGTAAAAAAAAATTACCTTATTGGCCATGTATGTTGCATTATCTCGAACAAAATAGAAGTAACTTGGAAAATTGGGAATTTTCCTGAAAAAGAAAAGTGAATTCAAAAATTAAACAGAATTACAAATTACTTCAACAGTATTTGAATGAATGTACAGTAGTCTGTGACAAGAAAACTAAAGTGATTCAGATTTGAAAATGTACATTTTGCTAATGAATCATCCCCATTCTCAAATTATTGCTTTTTTCACCAGCGAATCCAGTAATTTACCTGATGGATAAGCTTAAACTTACAGTTACATAGTAGGACATGGGGAATACTTAGCTACATATATGAGATTCATTAGCAAAATGTCACAGTCACAACACGCCTTATTTATGCTACTGGCTATATTTGTAATAAAAAATAATAATTGAACTGAAACCGGAAATTCTGTAAAAGAAGCTCATCAAATGCGAATCGAAAATCCTCTTGTTCTTCCTCACATGACTTCATATCCCCATCATTTAATCTAAAAAAAAAAAAATTTAATTAAATTACAAAATCATTTGTATTTAAAATGAAAAATATTTAAAATAAAACGAAGATTACCGATGTGACAATCATGTTTGAGTTAAAACGTAACATTAACAACTTGTCCGCAAGTAAGTTACTTACCTATATAAAATATCATCTTTGAATAAATCATTGCTTCTTGTTTCATCATCCGCATCCGCTATCGAATCTCCCATCTAAAATACACCAAATCATGCATTTATAAAAGTTTGCTTAAGCTTGACGAAATTCTGCTACAAACTAAAGGATCTAAATATTCACATATTAAATTATGCATATAGTTTCATTCATGAGAACTACGCAATTCATTTACAACTTGCATGATTAATGTTATAAGGATTACTGGAGAAATAGGTGTAGATTTGAAACAGTAATTGAAATCGTTTCCAATTACTGTTTCAGTGAAAAGAACAATTTGCTTTAAATTTCCAAAATTTTCCAGTTTGGAATATATATTAGTATAGTATAAATCTAACACAAACCTGTTTACGTATATTTGCAACATGTGAGCATAGGAAACGGACACATTCATCAATGCCCTCAACTTCGATATAAGATTGCTCACAACGGTCCTCCAATACTTCTACCAAATCTTCATACGGAATATGTACACCTAACAGTTAAAAATATTATTAAAACTAAATAAATTTAAGCGTTTTACCTCTTGATTTTAACTCTTCACTTATCGATTTTTGATTGTAAGAGTAATTTATTTTCTAATATGGAAAGTAGAAAATAAAGTGAATAAAAAAAGATAAATAATATATAAGTTATATACATATCCATTCAAATAATACTTAATGATTACTAACCGATGTGTGAAAATAAGCATTTCCTCTAAAGATGAACATATTATCAAATTGTTCTAAATTGTACTAACAATTTTCTAGGTCATAAGACAATGAAAGTAAAATACCTAGCAACAAACATTGATATACGGCTCCAATAAGTGCCCGAGAAAATAACTGGTCCTCAATGGCTTCACAGTAAGAGTGTATGTCAAAGGATGTATGAACACGATTTTCAGCCGGACTTATCCGGGAAGTTGACAACCAATGTAATTCCAATTCATTCTTTTCCATCTCTGAATTTTTCTATTACACATTTAAATTCATGTAATTTTACATACTCGCAAACAATTAATATGATCAAATTATATTAATTGTCCAAAATGATTTTTTAACAAAAATCATTTTTAAGAGTAGCGATTTAAGATTTGCTCTCATGGAAATAATAAAATACTGTTTGGATATCATGTTAATATTTAATATATCATAAATATATAATTACTTGTGAAGTTTTCAGTTTTCCGAATCTGTCGATTCAAATGTGCCAATGTTGAAGTTGGACTTTTGGTACGATGATCTGATACGTATGTCTCACATCGCCGTGGTTCATTTCGAGCTAAATGATGAGCTATCCATGGCTCATCACAATGAAAAATAAGAAGCGGTAATGTTGGTATGATGAGAGAAGTTGCCATTAGAACATGTTGAGGATTTACTAATAGAGCAATGATAACAACACGCCATGGTGAAAGACGTGACACGTAAACACGTGTAGGGCAAAAATGTCCATCATTCGTACCAATTAATCTTTGATGATCCTTAGTGGGAAGCCTTTTTAGAACAGATTGATCGATACCATCGGTAATTTCCAACCAGAAATTCGGATTTCGTACTTCTATTGTAACATTACTTGCTTTTGCCAGTTCACAATGTAAATTTTCAAGAAGAATTCGTAAACGTATATTACTTGGTGGATCAGCATCTTCTATAAAATATAAAATTTCTTAACATTTATAATCTTCTCAAATGAAACAGGATAAATATTATATTAATTATTATTAAAATAATTGAAAATATCTTAATTCACTTTAATTATAATAACTATAAACATATATCTCTCATTTATTTTTGCACAATTTTCTTGGAAACATCTAAAAAGGACTAATTAATAATTGTACTCATATTTTATTAACACACACATACATAGAAATATATACCTCTCTGATTTATTGAAACTTTGACTTATATAAATGAGAAAAATAATTTTACTAACGATAACTTAGCGTAGGTAATAATAAAAGTTCTCGTTCTGTTGCATTCATCAGTAATGATCGTAAGCAGAAACAATTATGCATAATTTCCACATTTCTTGAGAGATGTTCGCATTTCAAACATTCCCAGCTATCTTCACAATTAGTAAGTGTGAAATGTGAGCATGAATAATGCTGTGAACATAGAGACATTACTTGATCCAATGTTGATAACGTACAGATGATATCTTCATCTGTTGCTCGAATCTATAATTTTAGATAGGTTTTTTACTTTTCTTAAAATTTTCAATACAATTAAAATTGCTTGATTTAAACAAATTTATAACCTATAATGCTAAACTGTTTTCTACCCGAAATTTATTATCTAAATTTTATACCATTAATTAAACTTATAATAATTTTTCGAAATAGAAATTTTATTATTAAGATTATGGATTTCTTGAAAATATCGAATGCTTTGATCTTAGATAATAATAATGGAAAGTAATAATTGATGTATAGCATTTAAAGAACCTACTAACAATCAGTCCTACATAAAAGGATGATATTACAAGAAGGTAATATTATTCTTCATGTTAGTTATATAAATCAATTCATTTCATCCGAAATTGATAGATTCAAATTTCAATTGAATACGATTGAAACCTTAGGATCATTGATGAATTATGTGAATCCGATGTATTGTTGTTCAACTGACAAAAAATTTACTATGTAAACAATAGGAACTCACTTTCCATTCATTAATCAAAACCAATGACGCATACTTTTTGGCGATGAAGTCATAATGAATTAAAATGTTAAAATTTGCTAAATCAATAGTATTAAAATTGAATGCGCTTTAAAAAGTGAGTATTAAATTTTTTGACACTTTCACAAATAAGTTTTAAATTTTTAGACTTATAGCGACATTCTATAGGAATTATAATTTTTTTTTACATGAGTTTTAAAAGATTTTTAATTCCTTCCCTCATGAATATAGCTGAAACAATCTCTTTTATGACATCAAGAATTTCAAAATATTTCTATATATGGTATGAATTGTATATAATTATTCACATACTTCTCTTTTTCAAACTGTTTCGATTGTGAAATTCGTATTTCATATCATTAAGCCATCAAGTAACATTCTTCTCCAAAATAATATTATCTCAAAAGAACTTTCAACATTGTTAATTTTATATGCAATAAACTAAATGTTTTCTAAAAGTTTGCAAAGAAGTTGAATTTGAAAAATCAAATTTGAATTCCTCCTTATTTCAGAGATTCGACAACTGTTGCATATTTTTCAAATGACGTTTCAGAAACTATTTTAAATATTAAGAAAAAGATATGTTACAGAGGAAAAAAAAATATTATTATAGTATTCTGAAAGAAAGCAATTGTGAGTTGTAAACAGTTCCAAGTTACTGTGATACATCATTACCTTAATATAATTATTATCATTTTAATAACCATTTCTTATGTTATATTTCTTTTTCTAACCAATCATTTTCTTTTGCTGTTAATTTTAAGCCTTGTTTTTGTTAAAAGAAAATTAAAGAAAGAGAAAAATCTAAATAATTTGTTTCTTTTAATTGAAAATTGAAAATAAATTGGAAAAAAAACGGAAGTAATTCGTTAAAATCAACAGTATATTTGATCCAGAAACTTCAGATAAATGCATGCTGTAGTGACAACTGAAGAAGTTTGTGAAGGAGAAAGAATTCTTGAAAATGAAAAGCATAGTAATTCATTATTGGAAATTAATAATGATTAAATGGAAGCAATCAAATTTGGTCTACTTAGACTTACTAGATGTAAATCAATGTTAACTGTATTATGATTACTCTGTATTTGAAGCAAACTGTGAAGAACAAAAAAATTATTAAATGTATACCACAATAGTTAAATTATAATTAAAAGTCACTGCTTTGAAATATTATCCCCTTTTATTCTGTGAAGCATTTTCTGATCGAACTGTGACTGCGAATATATGAAAACTATTTGTATGTGCAATATTTTAATGATCTGATGAAAAAAAATAAAAAAAAGCTCCAAAGCATTTCTCACAGGATAACTTGAAACGTTTTCATGAAGTTTAGCGATCTATTAGCGCAGATTTTTGAACTCGATGAATTTTGAGAACTATTTTTATTAAATTTGAAAAGTAGTCTCATCAAATAAAAGAGATATACCGAAATCATGATCCATATCAAAAATGCACTTGACCTTTGGCAACCTTAAAAATACATCAACAATTTTTTGGTGACAAAATGCTCTCATAATTTGTAGCATGAAAAACATATTTTCCAGCAGTTTGTCGAATCATGACTTTCCATGATATATTAATTAATTCGCAATGAACAAAATGCTGTGATATTATAAGCCCTATGTAGATTAAGAAAGACGTGTCATAGAAAGCGCAACTGATTTTTCACAAAACTAATATTAAATAAAACTGGTTTTAAATTATCAAATCTATTTAAACTGATTTAAACCCTAATTTCAGCATATGAATTCAACTAAGAAAATGCAAATCCTTGCATTAATAAAACATATTACGATGGATATAATGGAAAGATCTCCCATAAAAATCAACTCTTATAGCGAAAAAATTCGCAAAACTATAGATGGATAATCTGATATGGAATGCAGATAGAGAACAGGCAAGTAAGTGGAGGAATAAGAATCTCACTGATTTGAAATGTTTAGTGCAGATCCTAACCTCCACTTTCGTGACCGTCCAAAATATCTTAGACTCCAATGCAATTGATTGTACAAAAAACTGGAATATTGGAATTCAGAACAGCTTATTAGAACCATGACTGTCATTTCCATTCGAAAGTTTTTGTAAATTATCGATTAAGTTGTTTTATTTCAAAAGAGATGATAGTGACGGCGTGATTTAATTTTTACAAAATGAAATGATGCAGGTATCCAGGCAATGGTTTCCAGTATATTTCCATAGAAAAAGCAATAGATTTGAAATATGCGACCAAATAAGCCAATGTTAGCCGAAGGACAGATCTGGCAACGTCGCATTAGCAATGCCTAAGACCCTACCTCCGACTGACACAAACTTGTCTGTTTCATGGAACCGACCAAAGAAGACGGTGAAGGTTAAGATAAGAAAGATGTTCACTCCACATGAATGTGAAATAAAAATGAGCCTCAGCTATCTACACCTACACTTATCAGCGTTGTCAGCAAATAACAAAAAGATAACATAACGAAGAGCTTATCAGAAATGTTCTTTCCATTCGTACTGTGCTTCGTCTTTCCTCAAATTATTAAGAGAAAGTGATAAATTCTAAAATATACTAATGCTATGATAAGAAAAGGAAGAAAATAAATAAACTTGGGAAAAAATTTTAAATTATCAACACTGAATGATTAAGATAATGAAGAAAAAAGCATTTCTTACGGTTTTAAAATTAGACAAGCTGTTTGTGTTTCATTATGATAACATTATGATTGGGGGAATGTCAATCAAACAATTAGACAGAATGTTTCCGCGACACTTTTCCGATATAATAGGTTTGAGAGACAAAAATAATTGCAGTGACTCAATCATAACATATAGGATCTCAAAAATGAAAAAGAAACAGTCAGCTCTTTTTATTTCTTCTGTTGGATAATTAATCTTGATATCTAATAGATACGTGGAATGGAAGTCAATGAAATTATAAAATATAAACTTGTGAACTCAATTAGTCCGCTATCTGTACATACAAACAGAATAATTTAGTTCAAGATTTCAAGATAATATAAATCTAACATCTACTACTCATGGTGAATCAAGAAAAATAAATAAGCTGATTATTGAAGATATAAAGAAGCATAAATGGTATACTTTTTTATTGTAAAAGAAAAATTTGCTTTTAAGACTACATAAAAATATCAGAATATTTTTAGCATGATATTAAAGGAAAACTGTTTGTTTGGAAAGTATTTTGTGTATATATTTCAATCCCAAGAATAGCACTTTAAAGCTTTTAAGTTACTTTAAACTTTAGAGTAAGAAAGAAAGAATAAATAATATATCAATGTCTGCAAAAAAACTGCTTAAGAAATTATTTGAAACACTTACTTGCTGTTGAATAATTCCACTCCATGTAACATATTGAGGATCAACAACAGCAAGCGGTTCCAACCACATTTCCGTCATTAATTGTAAATCAAGATCACTTTTCAATGTGGAATTACCACTTGGAACTGATTTCTTTGTTTCAACTCCACGTATTCGAACGATTCTGCAAAGTGTAAAAAATGATTTTACCAATCAAATCTTGGTCGTCAATTATTAGTTCTACACTTGAATACTCCATTGCATTATCTCGTAACGATGAATTTCATGACGATCTCATGACTACTATATACCAACGAGTTTTTAATGTGTATCAATCAATCAATCATTGCCAGTTAAGTTAATTTTCGTTGTCAGTAAAAAATGATATACTATCTGGTTATCTATAAAGAAATATCATTTTGATAGTGTGTAATTACTGCCAGTTAATACAATAACTAAGTTTTTACTCTGAATTTTATAGATTGGTCAAAATTTGCCAGAAAGTTACTTTGATAAAGGTGGAATTTTTTCTAAATGTTCTTTCATAATTCGCATAGGTCGAATGGTTGTTGGTGGAAATATGATATATTGAAGCACTGCTGACCCACAGTGCAGCTGTTGTTCCATATCATCGACATGTTTGACAAGGTTAATTATCCCATTATCACCATACACTATATGAAATCCTTCATTCAGACGTCTCCTGAATTCTCCATTTTTGTATATTACCAAAACATTTATCTGCAGCTAACAACAGTTAATAGTAGTAATTAATATTTAGAAGTTAATTTCAAAAAGCTAATAAAAAAATGCTCACTGCAGAATAGTGTGAAGAATAAAATCCGCATAAATGCAACTGACAGATGATGATAACGGAAATGCTTTCTTTAAATACCAAATATAACGTCTGTAAACTTCATAAAATTTTTGGAAAAAAAAAAATCAGACATAAAACTGAAAAATTGAAGGAATTTTAGCGCATTCTAATATATATTAAAAACATAACTCTTTCACAAAACTATGGGCTTGATAAACAGACATTATCCAGACAAACGTGACCAATCTCAAAACTGAAATTAATTCTAAAAAAATTTAGAGCACAACCGAATTTGAAGTCTTATCTACAAAGAAAGAATTCTGAATTTTCCCAGTTCAATTTTCCAAAACTATTAAGTATAAAAAGTTACCTGCAACAAAAATACTTAGCAAGTGAATTGTGCAGTATCAGATCACGATTTGTTTCATCGGTTTTTTCAAGTCGTATAATTCGATTTAATATAAGCGGAATTTTCTTGTAACGTGCAAGCATTACTTCCAATGGACGATTAATAATAGTCAGTGCTGGCAATTGCTAGAAGTAATATATTATAAACAATATCTTACATGAAATATAATATATTTTCAAGATCAATACTTACCATTGTTTCGGCAACTGTGGCACAGTCGTCTCCAACATCAGCAAATTCAAGCATTTTAGTGAAAAAGCAACTCCGTTCAATGGATAGTGAGGTGAAGTTTCTCTGGAATTCTCTGATTACCTAGAATAAGTAGATTTTCAAATTTTTTATTTTTTAAGTTTTTTTTCGAAATTTTTTAATTTTATGAAATGATATAATTCCTTTAAAATGGCAAATAGAAGTGTCTGTATAAGCATTAGAAAAATGTCTAATATCACAAAGATTACTGAGTTATTGGAAATTGCACGTTTGTTAGTTCTAATGTTTAAATATTTCGAAAAAAGCTCAAAAAAGGTTACGACACTTTAACATGAGAACAATTTGCTTGTGCAAATTATTATGCATTTGATATTTACTTCGTCCTCATCCTTTCCTCTTAGCATCGTTATGATTAACAATATTAACGGTAGCAAACACTTATTATATATTAAAATATATATTAAAAATTTTCAATTTTTATTACTTGTTATATTAAAAAAAAAAAAAAAAAAAAAATTGAAATTTTTTATTACTTGTTCTCTAAACGCAACCGTAAGGCCATCAAGGAATGCAAGTTTGATTACAACCAACTGAGTCTCCAAATTTAATTTGACAATATAGAATGATTTCGGGATATGATTATCATTATCACTGAAAAAAAAGTGCTCCAAAGCTCGAGAGAAAAGTTTAACTTCTTTATTGAAAATTATTAAAAAAAAAATATATATATATATATTGAAAGTGAAACTAAACGTCCTCTACATATTTTATTGAAGATTATGTGGTACTACTCTTAGTATAGCACTTTTGCAAGTCGAACATAACTTGAAAATATTAGAATTTAAAGAAAATAATGTCTTAACTGGTTTAATTATTTAGTGATTTCACTAGCAATAGAGCGAATATTTAAATAATGAAAGATCAAAAACGAACTCTTCAACAAACTTTACATAAGTTTGTCCATGAACAAGCGAAAATGTTGTCATTTGTGCCAGCATATCATAAAATACAGCTAATGAAAGCTGCGATGTAACTTTTACATTCGGTTCCTCGAATAGAAATAATCGTGGAGGCAACGGATGATCATGAGTAAGAATTACACGAAAAGTGTATACTTGTGACCAACTTTGCCTGAGAAATTAAAAATTACAAAAAGTTACGATAGAAGAGTAAAAAGGTACAATTATCTTCACTATTTAGAGTGAGCTACATTTACACAATTCTTTAGTTTGAGTCAATTATTTAATCAGTTATTTAGCTCCTACTTTTTCATTCATTCAGAATTAACACTAATGAATGATAATACGGCTTATGCTATCTTAACTTACTGAATCTCATCTTTTCTGTACATCCACTCTTTTTTGTTGCGATCTAAAAAAAGTGGCATGTCATCAAATGGATTTATATTGCTACCGTCTTGCTGAACATTTCATTCTCTAATTTAACCCAAATACCCTTCCACCCCAAAAATATCCATTATTCCAACACACTATATTTTTACCAAAGTCTTTCTTCAAATTCACTTATAATCCGCCAAAATTCGACAAAATTTGCTGTGGTAACATTTTGTGAGCATAAAGTTTCCAATTCTCTGTAAAGGAAATAATAAATCTAAATTAAAAAAATAAATTAAAATAAGTTGACTTAGAGATATGTAAGGAATATGAAGGAATTTTTAAGTTTTTGTAGTGATCACGTAATTCCGTTCACCATGCCCCAACACTGTATTTAACAGGGCAATTCATATAGCAAAATATTGTCAAGCTGATCAGGAACGTAACTTCATTAGAATAATTTACCTGGTACTTATGGTTAGTACAGCTTTGTTTTCTTTTATAACATAGCGAAACAATGACTTTTCTTTTAATACTTCAGGTGGAAGACGAAAAATATCTGGCAAAGAATTGAATGAATGAACGTGAATTAACATACGATCCGTTTCAAGCAATCTGACAATAAGAATAAATAAAAAAGGTGAATAATATTCATTCTAAATGCCTCTTTAAGTCACTGAAACATAATTTTTTGCAATAACAAACAAATTACTGTAAAGAAAAATAATTTCGGGAAAAGTAGAGATAAACTAACCTAAAAATAGTATGTCGATATGCATCTGAAAAAGTCTGCTTTGTTGTATTTATGGAACAACGATCGGATAACAAATCCCGTATTATGCCACATTGTGCTTCACATATTACCGTTATTTTCAACTTTGCTCTATAAAAATATTCCATATGATTTTCGTTGGAGAAAAATGTCCATACATTATATATGTGATTATACGATAATTAGTATTTAACATAACTATTAGGTAATACGCGTTATATTCTGAGGAAACTATTACTCAGTTTAAGGTAACAATTTAATAAAAATAGAGCAAATATTAAGAATTCTCAAAAACTTGAGATTAAAATTGCCTTCAATAATATCTATCATGAGTTATCAAGAAAAGTAATGTAGTGATCCGATAAATTGTAACATTAAAATAAACCTCTTTGTATAATCTTCGGAGAGAGCGCAAATTTTATAGCCAATTGTCACCTGCGGTTTCCAAGGTAGACTAAGTTCTACCAATATCGATGACTGATCATCCCCTTTTTTCAATACTCTCAATTCACGTAGTATAAAACCCTCATGAAGACGTAAACGTATAAAATACTCCAAATATGATTCATACTCCATACTGTAGTGCATTCTACGAATAACACCACTGAAATAGTCATTAATATTGAAAAAAAAAAAAAAAAAAATGTTAATAAACAAACTTTATTAAAAGCACGAAAACACAAGCATTATTAAAAGTTGAAAATTTTTGTGGGAAAATTTACAAATATTTATGGGAAAAAAAATTCCCAGGTCAATGTTTGGAAAAATTATTTTTCGTTCGAATGAGGATGAAAAACTGAAGTTCGAATGAAAAGTTGAAGTTTGAAGGGAGCAAAAATTCTTAACAGATTAGAACACTGAGAAAATACATACCAAGTGTATGGTTCAACAAACTCTGGATTAATTTGCTGAATGAGATCTTTAATATAATTATCTGATGTATCCAACAGCTGAAGATTCTTGCATAAAAGTGATTGACTTTGAACTGGATCAAGACCATTCTAAAAAAGAAATAATACCGGTCTCCCATACACAAATATTAATTAAAAATTTTAACAAAGTGTTTCCCTTTTCGTTTTACTTTTTTAACTTAATTTTAGAACTCACATCTGCGGTAGCTTGATATTCGTCCGGTATATAGATGCCTGATGTTCCCCTTGCAAGAAAAGTCAAAAAACCGGGTGATGAGAAATGTCCAAACACAGCATTCGTATTGCAATCTCCTTGAATCTTAAATGAAAAAACTATCTTTTCCCATACTTCACCTTTATTTCAGTCAAAATCCATTACTAAAACTATAAAAAAATTACCTCCTGAGTTTTGAAATATACGAAAAATCAGACATATCAAATTTTAAAATGACGTCTATGTACTCAGAACCTAATACCAGATATTGTGTGAGCTACCAAACTTAAATTAAAAAACGAACTCATCAAAAGCTAGAAGGGATACACGAAAATCAATTTTATGATCATTTTGAGATACTTATTAAAAAAATCTGTATTACCTGTATAAATGAACAAGCGATGGAGTAATTTCGTAGTTGAACCATTAATTTTTGTAAAGCGTGTATATCTGTTACATTACATACTGCATCCGTTATCAATACTATGTCTGGAGAAGTTTTTTAGTTAAAAAGTACAAAACGGATGAAAAATTAGAAACTGGGAATTTGAAATTCCAAAACTTAAGTGATATGCAGTGGACATATGTATCTCACAATAAGAAAACTAATACTAATTGTGACGTGAAGTTTCTTACAAAATTTTTCAAAAATGAATCACACAAAGACTATGGAATTAAATAAGAATGCAAGATTCACGAAGCTTTTTTATGATTTTTTTTCGTATTCCTGTCTTTATAAGAAAATACTGTTATTATCTATGTCTTACTGGGTTGCGCTGTGTCTGGTAGCAATTGTAAACCAATAAGACCAACTCGTAGCATAAACATCAGTGACCACTCTGAATTAATAAATCCTTCATCAGTACGACTAGTCCGAGAAGTCATTCTGCAAAGACAATTATATAACATATATAGAACTGTAATATGTCAGTTATTCTTGACTGACAATTCTTGCAATTGTCAGTTAAAACACATTTTTAAAGATAATTTTTAAACAGATGTCTCTAATACTAAATAGTAAAGTTTCAGAAGTATAAAATTTACTACTGCTTTTATCAAAAGGGAAATGGAAAACCAACTGAGCAGCTAACAGGCCGTGCATTGAATCCCTGAATCCATCCGTTGCGTGGGATTGTTGCCGAAAGAAATTTTCCGGTAGAAGATCTCCAGCTCTCTGCAATTACTCATATACATCATGGATTACTGCATCTCAACACACATAACGCCTTATTTTTAGTTTCCCTAGCTATTTTTGGAATTTCAGAGTGTAAAGTAAAAAAAGATGATTTTTCCTAATTTTTTCCTCATAGTAATCAATTTCGAGAAAGATTGAAAAATTATGCTATAAATGTGCGACTACGATCAGGTCAAAATGTGATATGTTGAATTGGAAAAAATCAAAAGCTGCATAAACTTTTCAAATTTTTCGTAAAAATCAGAGGAAAAGTATTCAGAGAACTATATGCAGGTGTATATAGTGCCACCATTACCTGTCGTAATTTCTTTCGCTCGTGATTCCACTTTCTCAAATGAGGTTGTACAGTCCAACATAGTCTATTAGAGAACAATGCAAACCGTTCTTGGACATATTGTAGAATACAATCGATATTCTTTTTCGTAAGCAAATAACCTTGCACTATAACCTATAAAAACTGTTGACTTTAATCAACTACTAATTTAAGATTTTAAATTACAGTTTCAAATTATCAGTAATATTCGCCGAAAAATTACAACATTTTGCTGCCTCTTGATCTCATATTTTTATCCATATTCATATTTTATGTGATTCGGATAGCTTTCTCATACATGCATCAGACAATAAAAAGAAGCTAATAATGCTAATAAGAATTTGATGAATTATTTATGTCAGCCGTAAGTTCCAAAATCATATTCTGTAATAAAAATGTCATTTTCTGAAACTATTAACTACTGGTTTACATTCTAAATTTTAACCAATGTTCTCCTTTAAACAAAAATCTCTAATTACTAACTCTATCCTCATCGAAAGCAATAAATGGACTATAGAAACAAATCGTAATAAATATTTCGGGAGAAAATTTATTTGCTGGTAGAAAATTTCCATCCACAAGAAGTCCTTCCAGGCATTGTTGTAATCGGTTGATAATTTTTGAATGTGGCACACAACTTGCTGCCCCATCCTATAAAATAATTAAATAAGCACAGAAAATGAAATGAATTACATTGAAGTGAGAAATATTAGTTTTATTTCTTATTTTCTGTTGCTCCTTAATGTTTTCCATTCATACCGCAGAAACCAATCAGATTAACTCGCAGTGAATGAAATTAATAATGTTTAAAAAATGATAAAACTCAAAAGAAATGGATAAAATACTAGCTGAAACAATAAATATCAAGTAATAAGTATCACTAGTAAAATCAATTCGGAATACACAGAAAAGAATTACATTAGTGAAATAGTTGTTAGCATACTAATTGGATCCTAAAAATTGACCAAAAATTATCATACAAATTGGTTTGAAAAAGAAAAACGAACCACAATGAAAGTAGAAGGACTGATATCAATGACAAAAACAAAACGATAACTTCGCGCAACATATGATATTAGTGTGTTGCTTGTTACCAGTAGCTTTTCATCATTGTGCACTTCATCACCATCTCGAGCACTGATTTTCACAATCTCTACTTCATTCTCATCCTTGAATGACTGATTTGTTAACTTTATCAGACAATGGTACCGAAATATAAGCCAACAACTTTACAATTTCTAAATTATATGCTTTCAGATACTCCTTTTTATAAATGACTACATCCGTTTCCCAATACAATAATTAATCAAACGCGCTTTAAAAATTATCATGCTATGTAATCCTAAGTATTAATAATAATATTTTAATGATTTATCATCAATTTCCTTTGACATTCACCGACAGCGACTTGATTTAGTCGACTATTCATTTCATTTGTTAAACTTGATTAATCGTTAAATTTTCAGAACGAATACTGCTTCACGCTATCGATTCTTATTTTTATTTCGAACAATGCTTTGTTAAAAAATGACTCAGACTAAATAGCACACAAATTTATGTTCTGGCTTCCCATCTGTAACAAAAATAAAAAGAACTTCGCATTGCAAAAGGCTTCAACCGTCGAGAATTTTAAATCTTAAATAGATAATAAATAACAATTATTAGTAAGATATTTGATAACATTCATGAAGTAATACTTCATTTGATGTTTCGATTGCAACTGTGCTATTAATATGTTTCAGATACCATAATGTTTGAATGTATTTGCCAGTTTCCGAACTATTCGATACCAACAGTATTACATTACTTGCTTCTCGTACAGCACAACCATTACCATCCGATGAATTCTTAGATTTATTTAATTCATTTTCCTCTTTATTACAATGATCGTTAATATTTTCCATACATTAGAAATTCTATACTTACAACCTAAAAAAGGATCCTTTGTCAAATTTTAAATTTATTAATTTATCCATGCAACTATGATTTTAGTTGAAAAACTTTGAAGATTTATTTTCACTCGTGATATCAAAACAGCATTATAAAAACTGATCACAAAAATTTTGAAATTCAAAACCTTGAACTTCAAATCATTAAAAACTTAATTAAACAAAGAAGGATTAAAAAGGCTTAAACTATTTAAGATACTGTATGTTGCTTAAAATTAAAGGAAAGGCAACTTAAAATTAAGCCTTTTTTTCACCAATTAATGTTGATATGTTTGAGGAAATCATTTGTAAAGAAATCTATATAAAAATTATGCAATTAATTATAATTTGTTTAGAATATCTTCGTCTAGCTAGTATCTCCAACACAATAAGTTAGATATATAAACAAATTATAAATTGAACAAAAATACAAACGATAAAACAATTCCACGCTTTATTAAATTTATTTATCATCTCCTAAACATTTAATAAAATTTAATGAAATTGAAATAAACACTACAAATGCTTCGATTATAACTGTTTGTTACTTTTAAAAAGAATTCACATCCTATCAGGTAAGCAGTAAAAATAAATCAATTCCTATTTACACAATTGTAAACAACATAGTGCCTATTCTAATCAATCAATATTTGTGTACATCAACACAATGAATAAAACTACCGAATAGTTTGTCATTTCACTTTTATTTTACACTATTTTCATCATCTTCATTTCAACTTTTTCTCTTCTTACATCACTTAATTGCGATCACTTTAAAGCATTTTCATTATTCTGAAACGATATAACAGATAACTTTGAATTTCAAAAATTTAAATCTCTAACCCAACCCCAATCGCAATTTCCAGTGCAAAAGCCAAAAAGTACCGAGGCCAAAAAATCCACCACGTTTTGGAGGAAAGAAGAAAACATGGCCCGTAAAGAATTAGCTAAAGAACGAAAGATAAACCATTTTGTCTCTACGAAACAAAAATTATTTTTGAAGAAGACTTTTTGTTTTAGAAGATTATTTGTGTGACTGGTTAAATTTTAGAAATTGAACAAAATTGTTTTATATTTGCAATAAGGCTAATAGTCAACAACAGATTTTATACTTTAATTGTTGGACTATTTCATAACAATGAAATATTAAATTTAATGTAAATGTTGATTTCAACTAGAATTCTCCATTCATCATTTGCATATATTCATAAATTATGCCTCTTTTTTTTTTTGAATTTTAAAATTAGGAAGTTAATTCATTCAAATATTCAATCATTTTTATCTTTTCGAATTCATCACCATTAAATTCTTTTTTCGTGTGTTCAATTTTTATTTTCATATTGAATTAATTATGATTTCTATTATAATTAATTATAATTTGCGTTTCCTTTAAATTACACCGTAAATAAAACTATGTTGTTTACGAGAGGAAATCAATGATCAATTATCGATTTTTAAGTTTACAGCTAATTAACTTGAACTTAATTCATATCCATTCCTGACTAATTACATCTATCAAATTTACGAGACGCCACGTGATTATACTTTGTAATATGTTTATTGAGTACTTTCCTCTTGCAATTACAATGATTATTATTCAAGATTTATTGTATTCGGAATATTTATAAACTTCATTTGCATTCCTTCCTTCACATGTGACTTCACGTACGTGTACAAATTAATAATTATTGAAGTTTAATTTAGAAATTTTTGAAATTTCCAAATTTTTCCTACTTTAGAGTAATATCTATTTGAATAATTCAATTAAAATATGTTCACAGTACCATTACATATTGGCAATTTACAAATTGATTTTACAAAACGCTTAATTTCAATTGATCGATTTAATGTTGTAATTAATGATAATAATATTAATGTTCCTACTGCTATTATTCCTGCTACAATAAAACGGCAAGAATTTAAGCGAACATTAACAATAAATATTGGATGTGCTATAACTGATCAAACTATACAACTAAATGAATATGCAATAAATGATAATTTATTACGGATTAAAATTAATGATGGAACTGAATTATTAATTAAATATGATAGAAAGGAGGAATTATTTGAAAAATATGAAATTGAATGGTCAAATATCAAATGTTATCATTATATGAAGGATGTGATAAAGGCTGATGCTAATAGCCAATGGTATGGTGGACCTCAAATAGCTCAGCAAACTTGGCCTTTGGCTGAAACTCTGCAACAATTTTCACCGTATTTATCATCGGATACATTAAAAGTAAGCTATTATAGTATGTAGTCTTACTAAAATTAATTTTTCCTTCTATTATTAATTATTTTTGTTTTGTACTAAACTTTTTAAAAAGTCATCAAATAATAATTATAAAAATTTTTTTGAAATTTACAAGAAATTTTAAACAAATTTTCTGTTAACTATTATATTGCATGTGAAAAAAGATTTTTTTGTTTTTAATTTCTTTTAAATATTTCGAAATTATAACTTAGTTTTATCATTTTCATAATAATGCAAAAAATATATCTGGAATGGAGCGTTACTGGTTATGTTCCAGTAAATTTGCTATTTATGTGCCAGATAATATACCACTTTGGACATCATATAACTATGACAAACTTTCACTTCAAGCACAAATTGATAATTCTCCTTATATTGGTTTCTTTGTAAGTTACGGTTTTTTTTTTCTTTTCAAAGAGAAGGAAAACTTGAAATTATCCGGAAAAAAAATAAAAATATCAATTGAAATTATTTAAAAGTTTGAAAAAAAAAAGATTCTTTATATATGTTTGCCAGATAGTTTACTTGGTATAATGATTTCGTGATGTAGACAAAATAAGAATTGAGGTTTTTAAGTTTTTAGGGTTTCTTTTTTATTTTATTTTTTTGATAATTTTTTTTTTTTTTGTTTTCCATTTGAATCTTAAAGATGGAAATGGTCTAATCAACTGCAGTATTTTTCAAATGTTTTGCTATATTTAACTTCTAAAATTTGCTAATATTAAAGTGTTTTGAAAAAAAAAAGTTGATTTTTTTCTAGCAGACTTTGCTTCTTGTTTTTTTTTTATTTGTTTTTTAGAAAAACATTTTCTTTTTCAGACAAATACTGTTGCACCAAGTCTTTCCTATTCAATATTTGTAGCAAAATGTTGTACGCTACGTAATTTTCATATCGCTGTTCATGGAAATTTGTATGATTCATGTAAGACTATTCCTGATGAAGCAATGATTCGTAAGCCTATTTGGTCAACTTGGGCAAGGTAACAATTCTTTATATGCCCTTTCATATAGTCAGTTTTTTAAATTATCTCATTGGCCTAATCTTTACTTGTTTAATTATCTATTTATCCAGTGTTCCTAGCCGTTTGATAATAGGTATCAATTTTTGCATTTGTAATTAAAGATACTCAGAAAAAGTAACGCAACATGATGTGCTTGAATTTGCTCAAGAAATTCTAAATAATCATGCACCAATTTGCCAGCTTGAATTGGATGATAATTGGGCTACACATTATGGCGATTTTGATGTATTTTTTTATGTAATTTTAATTCAAATGGTGTTTTAAATTTCAGTTGAAATTATTCTTTCTATTTGGAATTTCTTAAAACATTGGTTTCTTAGATTTGAAATTTAAAAAAATTTTTTTTTGAAATGAAGATAGATTAGTTTGCAATGAAGAATATTTATTGATTAGTTCATGCTAATATCGCTTGCATTCCAGTTTAATAAGGTTAAATTCCCGGATGTGGAAGGTATGTGCAAACAACTGGAACAATTGAATATTCGATTAACTCTATGGGTTCATCCATTTGTCAATTTGATTAGCGAAAATGGGAAAAATCCGACATTACGGCATTTATTTGTGAGAGATTCCAGTGGTCAACCGGGAATTGTTGAATGGTGGCAAGGGCAGGCTTATGTGATCGATTTCACAAATCCTGAAGCAGTGCAGTGGTTTTGTGAACAGCTGGAAAAAATTAAAAAGGTTAGTTGATAAGAGATCAATTTAATTAGCAGGATTTTTCAAAATTGAATTACTCTGCTGTTTCACTATATTGCTAATGATGGAAAAGTTTTAAGCTTTTTAAAAAATAGTAAAGGGTAGGAAAATTTGTTTAAGATTATGATCAAAGATAGTTCTGAATACCGATCAAATATGAACTACTAGAAGAAAAGGATAATGACAAAAGATAACGACAACTGTAACTGATCCGGAAAGAGTAAGCTTATCATATGCTTTCACCTTTTTTCAGGTTGGCATTTTCTCATTCAAATTTGACGCAGGTGAAGTGACCTATCTTCCAGAAGATGTTCATCTATATTCTGGTGCTTCACCAAATGATTTTTGCGAGGCTTACGTACGTACAGCCGCATCGTTTGGATCTTCAGTTGAGGTGCATATTGAAATAAATATAAATTTAAATGATAATAATTCATTTATTTTCCGAATAATTATGCCCCTGATTTTAAGTTATTAATTAATATTCATAAAAATTCCACAACTATGAATATATAAGACAATGTTTTGCCTAGAATAATTCAAAGTTGAACATTAAACAAATCTCGATGCAAATATACTTGCATAGCATAAGAACTAATTAGGGTAAATCTTAGTTATAACGATCAATTAAATAAAATATAACTATCATTCATTTTTCAACTGGATTAGTTCAATTAAGTATGTAAATCTGAATAATTTAATTAATTTTGTAAAAAAAAAAAATTAGGAAAAGTATTCATTTGTCAGTGCTTGTATTAATGTGGAGTATCAAAATGAAATTTACTGTATTTTATTTATTACAGGTAAGAGTTTTTCGTCATACACAATCTCTGCCCATATTTTATAGGACAATGGATCGCTTATCAACCTGGTTTGTATAGTTCTTATTTATTTTTTCCAAATTTCTACAGTTAATAGGGAATGATAATCTGTAGTCTGGTCTGTTACTGTGTAATTAATTGATTAATTTATTGCAGTGACTAATTAATTAATTTTTTTTTGAAGACAGGTATGTAATTTGTGCAGTTTTTGATTTTTATATTATTAAGTATAATTTTAGGAATAACATTGGTTTGAACACTTTAATACCAGTGGTACTTAATTTCGGACTACACGGTTATTATTATAATTTACCGGATATGATAGGTGGTAATGGATATGGTGGTGAAAAATGCAGCAAAGAATTGTACATTCGTTGGATGCAGGCATCCTTTTTATTTTAAGGAACGAATAAATTGCTGCACATATTTCTCATTTATTTCCAAAATTTTATTTTTTTCAAAATTTATCTATTATATTTTAATTTTCTCTTATCATTTTGCATATGCAAATAGTATTTTTTATAGTTTAATAATGGACAATACAATAGTTTTATCTATACCAATTAATTAGTCAAATGTGAGTAACTCTAGTCATGTGCAGTCACTGAAAGTTTTCATTCCGTTCGGGAAATCTGTGCATGGGATAATTCGATTTAAGTGGTTCATCCAGGTTTTTATCCGGCAGTTCTGCTAATTGCAACAAATATAAATGATAACAAATGCTTAATTATTATTATTTTCTTAAGGCAAATGAATTCCTGCTGTCTATGCAATTTTCATATCCTCCATGGCAGTATGACGATGAGTTGTGTGATATTTTCCATCGCATTATGCAAAAACGAAATGAGATGATGAATTTTTTAATTGAAGCTTGCCAGAAAAGTTGTAAAAGCGGTCAACCCGTAATACGGTTTGTAATTCTTTTGTGTTATTTAATTGCATTAAATTTCTATTAAATAATTGCATGGTTCTATTTTGGAGAATCCGGAAGTATGACTTCCGTATGTTTGCTATAAGCATCATTCCTTTTACGAAAGAATATTCAGTGATTCGCTGAAGCTGATTAAAACACCAATGAAAAAAGATATGTAATGAAAAATCATATTTCTCATATTTTAGGCCGTTATGGTGGTTATCGGAAGATCCGGAAGCATTGTATTCTAGTGATCAGTTTGTAATCGACGATACTATGATTGTTGCACCAATTTTGACTGAAGGTGCAACATCACGAAATGTTTTTCTTCCAAATGGTATTTGGGAGCATGAATTAACTCACAATATTTACATGGGACCAATTAAATTGACTGTTGAAGTAAGTAAATTCAAGGTGGTTTTGAAAATAAAATTTCGAAAGAACTATTAAGGCACTATTATCCTCTTTCTTTTTTCAGGCTCCTCTTTTCCATCATGCTCCACCATATTTTACTTCTGTTGAATAATTGTTGAGCAGAAATATTTTCCCGGAATTGTTATTATGGCTATTCTAGCATACTAATGAATTGATTCCATCTGCTGATTTCTCTTTCTTCCAACGTTTGATTTAATTGAAGTATGTTAATATATCTTAATTGTATAGCCTGTATAAGAAAATTGAATGAATCGAAATCAAAATATTAAGACAAAATTTGAATTTTATTTTTGTATAAAATATATTTTTTGCTTCCTCTATCTATTCTTTTCATTGCCTACATGTCTGATTCAAAATCATTTTAATTAAAATTTCAAGATTCCTCAGAAGCTGATCCTGGCCAATGTAATCTTTCCATAGCCATATTTTTTTCCATTTAGGAAAAAGAAAAACATCATTGGTGGAATTTGAATCTCAAAAATGTAAAGCATAAATTGGTATTCCCGCTTTGAATATTTTCTCTTTTGTTATTTTTAAAATGAAATGCTATAAATTTTTACTGCAAGCACTGAAATATTATTCATTTATATCATTACTATATTCTTGAAATTTAAGCATTTTTCTTGTTAGTTGAAGAGCAATTATTTCAAATGTAAATTCATTTCACCAAACTTTTGCTCTTGTATTTCTTGCTGTGCTATATTCTGCGGATCATTTGTACATTTAGGTGGAAATGACTCGCTCTCTCCTGTAACAATTTTAATAAATTCAAATTTACTTATGCATAATGCAGAATGCACACAAGTTTGAATTTCTCCAAAAACAAAAAAAAGAAAATAAAGGATCTGTTTAATGATAAAATAAAATACCTTTCTGGGTACCTGGTGAACCGTATGCTGTTACTCTAGTTACTTGGAAATTTTCTGGAATTTACCGTCTAAAATGCTCACTTTTCGTTTTATATTTAAAACAGTTTTTTAGTAGACTGATGAGTTCATTATTTCACATTTGAAATTATCAAAAACATAACCCAATGTTTTTCAAAATTTCAAAAAAATTTCAAACTTCGAACCTCCTAATCTCTTCCATAACATATCTTTGTAGGACCAATCCACTTTTCCGACCATTCGTTACAAGTCCAATTAATTAAATGGAATCTTTTATTTCTCTTCCACTCATTTCTAACAGTACAAGCATCAAATTATAAAACCATATTTTTTTTCATTTAATATATGTATGAAGCTAATCATTATCACGATTGTACATCAAACACCAATCTCTTGACCAAATAACACCAAATGAACCTGATAGCTAACATATCAGCAACTCCCAGAAAATGCTTCTAACCATTATAATCAGAATATGATGAATGATGCTATCAATTGATAAGAAGGAACTGAAGACTGCACAAGCAACTATTTCTAGATTTCGAATTCAAAAAGTAATGTTGTCGAGAATATAAGAACAGGGGAATAAACTGGGTAAAAAAGAAATGATGCAACATCTGAATGTGCTATATGAGGAAGAATTATCATCTCATTTTCTTTTCATTAATTTATTATATATCCAATTTCAAATGTAACCTTCCAATTCCTTAATTAAAGAAAAGAAAAAATGCCAATAACTATTCTCATTTTCCATAATGGAAAGAATAAAGTCGTGAAGAAAAAAAAAAGTCACAAATAAACAAACTATTGTTTCATTTGCATCGTTCAACATAAAATACAAATATCACAAATATCAATTATAAAATTAATAAACTGCTTAAATGAAAACAAAAAGAAAAAAAACTTCCATTAAATAAGAACAAAAGCACAAAAATTTGAAGTATGCAAAAATAAATGAAAGAAACACTACGACAAGTAACAAGTCTCACAGTATAATTTTAATCTATTGTGAAAATTATGATAAAAAATTAATACAAATAAAAGAAATCAAATAAATTAATTCAAGATATCGCTTCAAAAAAAAAAAAAAAAAAACGACCGTATTCATCACCTAAACACAATTTGTTTGTTTTTTTTAACAGAAGGAATAAATGGAAGAAATAATCATAAATAATGCAAAATGCAAATAAAATGAAAGCAAAAAAAAAAATTAAGTCAAAATTTATACGAACAATTAATTCATAGCTGTGCTACTACTAAGCGGATAATATATAGCAATAAATAATTTGATACACAATCATTGATAAATAAGGAAAGAAAAAATAGAATAAATAAAAACATAAACCATATGTATAGACAAATTACAAATGAAAGAAGCAAAAATGATTTGTACAACTGGTTAAAAAAAAGATAAAAGTTGGCACCGGAAGACTGTAAAAAGTTCCGGAAAAAAAAAAGATTTTCAATTTTTCATTTTCCAGAAGTTATGAATATCCCTGAAGTTATGCTAAATATGAAAAAAAAGTAATAATTCCGGAATCCAGATTTCGAGAAAAATTATAAGGTTTTTTTCGGCACATTATACGACTGTAGAAAAGAAAAATATAAATTGCAGGATGATATGCAGTGTGTGTGTGTGTGTGTGTATGTTGTCATACATAATTTCAAAATAATCTGAGCTGGAAATTAATATCCATAATTGTAAACGTAACAAGTCTCAACCAGAAATAATCAGGAAAAAAATTTCTGGCATATTTGTCACTAAGTACCTCAACTTGAGCCTATATTGTTCACTGCATTCTAAATAGTAAAAACAAATTATTAAAAAAAAATCCTATAAGTTTATGAAAAACCAATAAAAACCTGAAACCAACAAGAAAAAACTGCAAAAACCTGCTTACAAAACGAAAAACGAATGTCGTTATCGAAATCGAAGTAATGAATATCAAAAGGACTGCAGCAAAGGATGTTAAAATGAAATAAATACAATTTAGTAGGAAATCAGATACAATCTAGGATAATAATTATAATAATCATATAATTCACAATTCTAAATTTGCAAAAAAGTGAAAAAATGTAAAAATAATACACTTCCAAATATTTTAAATAAAAGAAATGAAGAGAAAAATTCAAATAGCTTTATAGCCCATGAAAAGTTTCTTTTTGTTTTTTGTTTTTTTTTTTTTTTTTTTTTTTTTTGTTTTTTTGTTTTTTTAAACACATAACGCGACCTTTCAACTAATACAGAATAAAACAATCACCAATTATTGCTGCACAATCTTTCACTAAAACGAACCTCGGAAATAAGTTGACTTCAAAAATTTAAGTCAGTTGTACATACTTTCTGCTTTGCGTAAAATTTCTTAAATTTTCACTTTCTGCGTCTTCTCATGCTAAATCAATCTCAAAACTCAATAATCAGGAAGGGAATCTCAAATATCACAACAACCTCTTGAGCATAAGACAAAATGAATATTCATCTCTCAATTGATGAAGCGATTAACGGCATTGCAAAGCCACATAAGAGCTTGAATATGAATGGGTAGACAGGAACGCCGCTCACCGCTTACCAGATCCATATTGAGCCAAGATAAGGCATTGTACATTTCCAAAACATACCTCAAATTAAAGTATAATATTTTTTCAAGAAGAGAAGTTTTAAAAATAGATTGGCAAAATACAACTGCTCTTAATTTTAGCTGAAATCTTTCCAGTACAACTGAGGAAAAATGATAATAACAACAACTTCGCGCGGTGACTATATAATGGAAATCTAAATTCAAAAGCTCTTAATGCAACGGAAATTTAAAGTACAATGAAAATTTAAATTCAGAAGTTACAAAAAGATGTTCAATTAATGCTTGAAGAATGTTATGTTTATATGGAATAGTACCTGAGAACATCGGCTGTTGCCTGGCTATCCAACTGGTGATGACAAGCTTCGGTACCTTTACCAAATGACGAGATATCATCGCCTTGTTGAACATTCGGCGTATTTAAATGAAGTGAACTTTTCAAGTGTACCGGATTTCGTCGTTTCGCAGAAGGACAAGCTGACCAGAACCATTCCGGCAAATCCGATGCTGGTGCTGTTGAAATATAGTAGCCGGTAGCAAGCGGTTGATTTTCTATCGAAACATCTAGAAATATTGATTGATTTTTCTGAAATCTGCAGATGTGCTAGATGGAGTCAAACAGAATTTATGAAATTTATTGAACAAGGAAGTTCGAGTGTTCAAGTAAAACTCATAAAATTTAAACCAAAATATGACTCACTGTAATAAAATAAGCTTTAAAAAAAAAATAAGCACATTGGATTTACTCCAATTTATGGCCCTGAAATGCATTTCTTCTAGCAGGCATATTATATACCTCAACCATTCCTGAATAAAAGTACAAAAAGTATATAAGAGAATTATAGTTATCTTACAGATCAAATAACTCATGCTGCTAAAAATAATATCTGATTCAAAATTAAAAGTAACATTGATGAATGTAAAAATTTATCTTTGAATACTGTCATTTTATTTTTAAAGGATATGTTGTAACATTTTGATATGCTCACCAGCATATTCACTTGGAATCCCTGTATTTCCACCCAGCCGAAAGCTTGCCGACTGTGGCGGTGGTCCAGTTCCATTTGTCATCAAATCCTCACCGTTTCCAATCAATTCACTAAATTCCTCACCAATTTCCTCCGTTAACAAATTTGAAAAGTCATCCTCTTCCAATTCAGCAACGCCATTCCCACCTTGATGGTCTAACTGTAATTTACAAATTAGGAAAGTATTAAAGTCACGCAACATATAACAGAACTTATTGAATTGTAAGTGACGAAAGAGTATCAGATATTTGAATCCACCACTTGTTTGCCATTATGTTATTTGGTAGTAGTTTGAAGCCGTATATGTGTCGATAACAGACAGATTAGAATGCTAATTTTTAAGGGTTTTCCATTATCAGAAGCTCGACCCAAAAACAAAATTATTTCAATGGAGCGAAAGTAATTTTTCCTGCATTTATATTTCAATTCCGAGACAATTAATGTTTATATTTTGAAAAACTGGTATGAAGACCATAGAATATGTCCAACGTTGAAATTTTTACGTTATCAAATTTTCAAAGTAAAATCTACAAAAATTCCTCAAATAGCTCTTAAGTTCTGAATATAATTTTGTGTAGAAAATGCTCTAAATATTTGAAGAAACATACATTCAACTCGGGACTAGTAGGAAAAACCAGAATATGTGTACAGCTTGTATCATCAGGTGTCGTCAGTGCACGGTGTCGAGAGTTTTTCAAGAAACGATCATCGTGCTGAAAAGATGATGGGAAAACACGAAGGTGTGCTTCAGGCTCTAGGCTGACCAAGCAAGCTGACAACACTCCAGGAACTTCCTAAAACATGAATGTTACTTCCAGTTAAATAAATTTATAGTGATAAGTTTATATCATTTAGAAATTTGGATTAAATTAGTGCTATTCATGACATAAATTTGCTGAGTAATTCTTGGGTCTGAATAAAAAACAAGATCAAATTTGAACAAAAAATTGATGCACATTATTCGTTTCGATAAGGAAAAATAAGAAATACCGAAGTTCCGGGCATCACATGGCATGCCCGACATACATGTTTCATCCGTGTCCCAACCTGTTTCAAATAAGATTTGCTGAGAATTTGAGTCCAAACTAAAATAAGCCGAGTAAGAATCATTTCAATCAAACTTAACCACCAAGGTCTATTACTTCGCAATCACTTACTTTAGGAGAGTGGGAATTTAAATCAGAAAACCAAAAATTTTCGAACTCATCATTAAATGATAATCTATGATGAAAAGAGAAACAACAATGTGCGCATGAAAACAAGCTTATAGCCGAAATTTTTGGGCTGATGATTCATTCATAATTTACTTAGCTTAATTTAGTTTCAAATTTAAATTGATTTTTTATCACATTAAAATAGGGATGCTCATTCCTGATACCAGTGCTCTGGAAATAATAGATGTGACTATTTAAAAAAAAAAAAAAAAAAAAAAAAAACTTACATTTAAATTCCCCATGACCAATACGTCCAACCCTACCGATAACAAGCCTCCAATTCCTAGTACCATTGGCCAACGTACCCAGAATGTATGACCACAAACGATACAAACTATCCCGGATCTGTGTCGACTGTTTGTACCTCATATTCACCCTGCAATAAACAAGCATTTTCCAAATCAGACCACCATTTACACTAACCCATGTCATTCGAATATAATTCTATATATACTGCCCACAGTTAGATCTCAAGATCTTCAAAGTTTGTTTGCACCGTCGAATCCTCCATGATGTTACCCCATAAATCAAAAGAAAAACTGATTTCAGAAATCTTATCTTTTGGTCACAGTGAATGGTTTTGTGAGAAAAAAGTTCAAGTTAAATAACATATAACTATTCCACATAGATTACATAACGTACCTTTTATGATCAGGTTTTAATCTCAAATTAATTAAGCAATTATCGAGTGAATGACCTTGATGATCCGTTACGGTGGCAGCAAGCCAATCATTCCCTATTAAACAATAACTAACAAACAGAACAGCTTCATCAGTATTAATTTGCATGAGATCACAATTTGGACGTTGCATTACCGGTGATGGTGGAGCAAGAATGAATGGCTTGCTTGGGACCTAAAATGAATAAGTACAAAGATAAAATAAGTTCTGAAAGATGAAATATGACTCATATTGCATTTATTAATTAGAGTTTTAAATTTCAAAAATATTTCGAGTAACTCAGATAGCTTTTTAAAAGCTCAAGAACACACTGGAGGGTTCGAATGAGTAAAATTTTTAACAAAGATGATAGTAATAAATCTGAAACTTTTACAGCATTATGGCAAAATCAAAGATCCAAACGTAAAAAAAAAATCAAATACCTTGTAATAAATAGGTTCTTTTCGTTCCAGTTCGTTTAATAAATCAACCATAGCTGATGCGGGACCAAAACGTGTCATACTTTTTGGCAAAATTCCCCGTACAATATCTGGTAATACTACACGTGAATGTGTGTAAACCGAAAATGCAATAGTTTTAAGTGAATCGGATGATGACAACCGTTCATTTTGAGATTTTTCCAAACGACCTGAAGAATGCTACCGAAAAATTAGTTTGCTGATAAATCAGACTAATCAAAAATTGAATTCTTTATATATAAAAAAAGATTGAATTATTGAAAAATGTGACTTGACTGTAAGTATTAAACTTCATAAGACCACAATAATCTACCAGCACTTTTTAGCTTGTAAATCATAAAATGGTATTTTTTTAATCACTTGTGAAGCTTTTCTTTTTCTCCATCAATTTCTTTCTTCTAAAATGATATCTCATGATTGTAAAAATAACGCATACCTTGATCATAGCCATTCAAACGTCCGCGTTCATCTTTTAGGAAATCAGCAGAAGCACCACAATAATCGAAAATATTTTGTAATGCAATCATTTCCAATTGTAACTGTGGTCGACGCTTATTGTTTAAACGGTAAAGCAGTGCATTAAATGCACGCATTAGAGCAACCGTAACAACTCTTGCAACAAGTGGATTTTCTTCAGCACCCAATAAAAATGGATTCACCTAAATTTTTAAGGCTTAAATGAATGAATGATAACTCTAGAAATTATTTTAAGTTAAAAAAAAAACGACCATTTGACCATGACCTATCTATGTGTCCAGAAAATAATTTTTCGGGTAATATTCAACACTTTTTAAACAATATTTAGACTTTATAGGCGTAAATTTCGTAGTATAAATTGCAAATTAATATTAACTGCATGGTAATATATTAAATTTAATTCAAATATGTTTATAAAGATCAAAATTCTATAGACTACAAGAAACTGATACAAATATTTACGAGGTAGATGACAATAACATGAGGTAGAGTTCCCGGTTCATCCTCTGCTATGATACCATCAGCTACTAATTGTTCAGTCATGAAAGATGAAAAATTGGTCATATTTTGAGCGCTCCCATCACCGATAGAACCGTCTGGCGTTAAGGATTCACCAATGGTAATACCAGATGAACTTGGACCACTGGTACTATTTGGACCTGAATTTAAATGGATTAAAGCATTTTCAATTTTCAATTTTTTTTATCAAATTGTGCATTAAAAAAAAACGAATCGTATTTATCCATTAAATTATTAATCTAAATGGTTATGAAAAAGATACCATGTGAAGCATCGCTGGATTGACCGGAGATGATAATACTTCCAGGCGCCGAAGGTGGTGGCATATGGTCAGAACTTGATACTGTATAACCTCCGCATTGGTAAGCTGCTATTGAAATGTGTTGCACAGAATGAATCTGAAATTGAGAAGTAATATGGATTATCAATAGAACTACAAATTTCAATTTTTAATTTGCAAAAAACTGATTCGAAATATATTAAGAACAGGAAAATTTTAGCATACTAAAAACGATAACATTACCTGACTTTCAGCCAAAGCAGCACGATATTTGTCCCGGCTAAAGATATCATCATTGTTGATCAGTATACGAGCCATTTCATTTTCGAAATACTGCATATAAACCTGAAAACAACCACGACAAAAATGAGAGTAGAAATTCCATCAGAAATTTACTTATTCGATATCAATCAACGTAGAAAGATTGCAAGAAAGTTTGTTACTTATGCTTCTTTTTTTACAATAATGATAGACAATGTTATCACTCTACTATCCCACCTTCCTTTTCTATTTCGGTCTACAAAATTTACCTTTCACGATTTTGGAAAAAAATTAAAAAATAAAAATATCCTCAAACCTTTAATCGTGTGATTAACGATTTATTATCGCCAATGTGTCGCTCGACTTGATTCAGAAAATTATCACATTCACCTGGATTAGTTGCTGGATACCTTGTTGGGACACGCAACAGACCATCACGTAATACTTCTCGTGAAAACGGTATATGACGACCAAAACGACACTGCTCGTACATTCTGCATGGAAGGAATAGTTTAAGATAATATATAACTTCACTGGAATATCAGTATGCACATTATACATTACCTTGACAAATCCATGAGATATTTTTTCGTTTTCTCAATACAAATCAAATTATCCGGAACAACACCGATATAAAGAACATCTTTTGGCTGATCATACGGTTCTAATGACATCTTTTCCCACAATCTTATAATTTGTGGTGATGTTATAACTGCATCTTTTTCCGATGCAACAACTATGTTTGGCACCGCCTCCGGTCCGCTATCGTCTTCCTGAAAAAGTTTCACATTATTTAATGATTTAAATTTGTAATTGTAATTGATTATCAGTTTTTGTGGAAATAATTTACACATCTGAAAAAATGTAATCACGAAACGAGAAACCATACATGAGAAATAAGAACAGAGTAAAGAAAGCGCATTTGTAATTTAAAATGGTTGTAAATTGTAAAAAAAAAAAATGTAAATTTAGTGCTTTTAGAACAAAAGTGAAAACTAAGACAGAATTTGTGACTTGAAACGAAAACTGGAAAAAATAATGAGAAGTTAACGACTTAGAAATGAATTTAAAATGACAATCTTTATTCTAACTGAAGAACTTCAAATTCATGCAAACAGAACACTCAGAAGCTATTAGCAGAGCCAAGAACAAAATCAATTGAAATTATACCGTTCCCCCAGCAGCTTTTAATGCTTTGCGATCGAAAAATCGCCATGTCAACGGTCCTTCCACTATGTTATTACTTCCGAACAATGGTGAAGAACGAGCAATTCGTAAAGATTCTTCCAGAATCGGCCCAATTTCTTGCAACAACGCCATGCATTCAGATTCACGTGGTTCACGCATTTCGTTCGATATCTGCAATTAATGAATGGTGGCTTTCGCTCCATATTTACAACCATTTTCTAATTAAAAAACAATTCTTCCATTTTAATTGAAGAAATAGATCCATTCTTCTTTATTGCGTTGTTTTTCTGTTGAATATTGCTTTTTTCTTTAATCTTATTTTTTAACAATTACTCACCTGAACTCCCCAATCATGAAGCAGCACACTCCGCACATCATGCGGTGGACGTCGGCAATTCATTTCCATACAAGCAACCTCGCAAGCAGCTTGGAATACCAACGGTAATTCACGCTGGTCCACTTCCGAAATGATATACTCACAATGCTTTGATGAATCGGATCCAATGCGCTCAGTCTGTTAACAAAGATTATCATTAAGAATAACAAATTTATGAAACAAACTCATAAAACCTTAATGTCATATACTCTAAAATTTTGTAGATTTGTTTTATTAACATACTATCATCAAAAAACTTCATGAAATAAAAAAAAAAAAAAAAATCCGTTCTTCACAAAATACACTTAAAGCTTCAAATTTATTCATAATTAACATTTCTATTCAATACCTGCGAAGCTCGCTCACATTGTAAGCTGAGTAATGTCACCTGATCTAATAAACCACCAAGATCACGCACAAGTGTTTGCTCACGTAGCAAAGCGATGAAATTCATATCCCTTAAAATTAGAGTTGCACGAAAACTGATAAAATTTAATAAAATCAAATAGAAAAAATTGCAAATATCATTATAATATTCTTCAGATAATGTTTAAGTAAAGCGGTTCTGTGCAAATATCAATGTGTATTTTCATCTCCTTTCTTTATAACCAGATTTTTTAGCAACCCAAATTAATTATTGTGCTCTATATAAATGTGAACCAACCGGCCACTCATTGAGTCGAACCAAATGGTATGTGGAATTGCCGGCTGACTCTGGGTTTCATTAATATCCGTTGCTTCTTTTGCATCTTCAGCGAATAAACCCGCTTTCATACTTAAATAACGATGCCGCACAGCACTGAAATCAAGCTAACATGGAAATATATTGACAGCAGCAAAAACCTCAAAAATCAAAAAGCCAACACAAAGCATAAATTTTATTCTGTCATCAATTAAGATTTATCACCTGATAACGAATACGTTACTATAATTGACGTTTGCCTGCGTATAAAATGAGAAAACTAACAAAAGAAAATTGTTGTTAAAAATAATATTTATGTGAAGCAAACGAATTAAAGAGCTTTAAAAAGAATTATATCCAAAAATTTTAAGACAAAATATATATCAAAAAAAAAGAAAAACAAAAATAAAATCAAACAAAAATTTGATTCTTAAATTACAAAAATGCCTTTTTTTCTAATTTCATATACTTGGAAAACGCACCTAAATCCACAGTTACACGAATTTGATGTACTATTGTAAAATCCACTGGTTGGTTTGCTAACAATTAACTGCTGCTGCGCTGGTGGTTGTCGCAGCACTTCGGGTGGTGTTATATAAACCCCAAGTTCCTGAAAATTTATCAGGTTTCAGTTAACCTTAGAATAACTAAGGGTTGGCATCATCCCTTCTCATTTTCATAACGTTAATTCTCCACTTCAATACAAAACCCAAACTTTCACTTCAAGCAAGACACTGAGCTACAACCAAAACACTTACCTTTGCTCTGATGCTACCATTACACGAACAAATTGGACAGGCATCAAAAACTGAATCATAATGAAGATCCAGAACTGTATCCTGAAGCAGTACAGCGAGTACCAAAGATTTTCCTTCCGGATGTGTCCTTATGTTATTTGGTGGAACAGTAGTTGTGTCCATGACATGTGGCATATTCATTAAACGACTGAAAAATTTTTTTGGAATTTATTTTAGATATGTGAACCTTGCTTATTTGCTGTATAAACTTTAACAATTGCAGCATTTATATTTTTCACTGCTTAATCTCAATAAATGTTTGACAAACAACGAAACCCATGCATTTCACTTACTTTCCGAATAAACCGCCGTTATTAGGACTTCCGATGGATGATGACACTGTCATCATAGGATTCTGCGATGTTCTCGGACCACACATCATATTTTGATTTTGTGCTTGCGACATTAACGTGTTCGGACGCATCATATGTGCCGACTGAGGATATATCATTGAACCACCTTGAACATTGTGTACTGCAGCATACTGCTGGTTAATTGACTGAGAAAATGGTGGTGGTGGTTCAACTGGTGCTTGACCCTAGAAACAAAGAACGATTATAGCTTGAAACCATCCACTGTTTGATTTTTTGGAAGATTCTGAATGTCTCAATCTCATGCTGGAAATGGTACGACTCCGATAGAATAATGTCTGCACTAATTTCAAACTAATGTAATAAAGCAAGATCGAACCTGCGAATCAATCCCGTAGGAGTCAGATGAATGAATAGAATGTTGTGCTGGCAAGTTCCCATTCATATTACACCGGAACATTATCTGCAATTGGACAAAAACTCCGTTCAATGTATGTAAATACACAATTTATTTTTTGCAAAAGTAAACCCTATTTCGGAATAAAATCCAAGATCCAGGAATAAAATTCTACTGCTAATATTGGTGAGAATTGAGGATAATCCGTTATCACCCTTAAGATTATAACTGATTATAAGCTGCACAGGATAATCATTAACAACAACTACACAAATGTTTAAAATATTTGATACTTTTAACCTACCTGTTGTTGATAGATGCTCTGTTGCGATGGATTCACGGCTGTCATTCCCACTTGTCCATTGAAATTAGCATTGTTAACAAAATGACTTAGCTGTTGGAATGGTTGCTGCGGTTGTTGCATGGAGAATTGTCCGTTTGGTGGTCCCGCAGCATGCATGTTATTTGCGCCTAGCGGTTGCGACGGAGTAGTACCATGCATTCCACTAAGCATATGCGATGATTGCACTGGACCAGTACTCATCGAGCACATTGGACCACCCGGAAATGAAGAGATCGGATTCGGAGCATTCATCATTCCAGGAGGACTACAGAACTGAGCTGACTGACCCATAAAAGGAGGATGTTGTAGTGGACCCGTTTGTGATGAAGCATATGGTGGCATGGAAGGTATCCTGAAGGAGAATTCATTTCAAATATGATTTTTAAAAACATGTCAAGAATTTAAATTTTGCAATTAATCTTTGCAGTCAAAAACGAACCTTGCTAGTGGCCGAAGATGTGCCATCGACATTTGCTGATTCATATGGACGACACCCATTCGTGAGGAACTGGGTACCGGTTGCATAATAGTGGTACCACTAGGTGGTAAACAACCACTACTCATCATCATGCTCATTACTGAATTATTGCCATTATAGGATGCCGCCCCAAATGGTGGTCCGTTTGTAACGAAATTAGGCACTCCATTCATTGACATACCATGTGGTAACACTGTAAATGGATAAACTCAGATGCTAATTTCGACCCTATTAGATTAGATAATATTATTAATGACATTAAGGAGCAGACTAAAAATTACGGAAGATATTAGGTCCCAAACAATGCGCGAATAAGCGTAAACAAAGTCTAAAATAACCAAAAGGATGAACAACTAACGCCAAGAAGTGCTCGGGACGATGAAAAAGGATAAAAAGTAAAATTATCAATCTGTCTAACAAAGGGTGATTCAGAAAATAAACAGCATGAAAATGATCTGAATAACTTAGTTAAGTGCAACAATCAATTGATCTACATATAACATGGACAACCATTCATCTTAAAATTAAGAAAATACTTTGTAAAGTTGGTAGACAATGCGAAGAAAACATATGGCCATTGTTGTACGGTATACGATAATGCCGCACTGTTGTGAATGATGAGTGCGGAGCAAGATTCCGGAGACGTTCACGCATAAATAAGTAATCTGGAGCACGGCCAACTTTCTTCCGCTTTTCACGAGCTGCGACGGCTGCCTTGATTAGCTTTAACTGGTCTGCATAGACACCTTCCAGCATTCGACATTCTTTTGCCTGAAATTTTAAAAACGGAAATCAAAATGCAGTTTGAAGTTTTGTTTCCTCTGAATTCCGAAAAAATTCAAAAATGGAAAAGTGGTTCCACTTAATTTCTGACTTCTCTTATAAGTCTTTTCCTTTTAATTAACTATTTAAGTGAGGAATTTTATAAGGCAAAAATCAAATCTAGAAAAAGCATTTATGCTATCTTTTACTCTCCGTTATTCTTTCTAAATATATAGTATTAATAGCGAAGATTTCACCTCCAGTGATAAAAATTCCTTGGCAAGTATATTTCCAGCAAATTTTCTACTTAGTGCCATCTCCAATTGCATAAATTTACCGTACACCGGCTTCTCACCAATCGAATAATGAAGCTTACCCTGCACAAAATTTTAAATAAACCAATTTTTTTATTGTAATTAAATGTTGGATCAATGATAATCTATCAGAAGTTAGAGTTTATTTAATAGCTTCGTTTACTGCTGATATACAAACTTTAGCTTTTCAAACCAATATTTGCGAATTTCATGAATAAGAAAAAGATACAATTCAATTTTGCAAAATTTTCTTCCGGCTTTCACTTTTAATACACATTTTAAGAATGACCGATTAAAAAAGAAATACATTATTATACATATTTAAACTACGAAGATCAAATTTAGCTCGAATTTAGAAAATTTCTACAGCGAATAAGTAAAATAAACTAGAAAAGAGGTTAATCAGTGAAAAATAAGTGATGTTTTGTGGATCCTTATTTACGATCACCTCCATAACTAACTCCTTTATCATTTTTTGAAAATAAAAAAATTTGAAACCAGAAGTCTTTCATCGTCATTCTCAAGTTCCCGTTTTATAGTTGGGGTGGTTTCGGTGGTAGCATCTGTTTCCGAAACAACAGTAGGAGGTAGTTGTACAGGAGGAATATTATGGCAAAGGTTTACTGCTGCTGCCGCTGCTGCTGCCATATAGGAAACCGTTGGCGGGTAGAGAATACTAGTTGGATTTGCTTGTATGAGCGTATTTTGAGGACTGAACTGTTGTGACTGAAAAGAAATGAATTTAATAAATTTTTCTCAAAGAAAATTATGACGTCAAGGGGAAATATTTACAACTGAAAAAAATTATAACGAAATCTATACTGGAAAATGAAATTTAATACAATGGAAATCCTTCCTTACTTTCACTGTGAAAGACCTATAAAATGAGGAAAAAATAAATAAATAAATAACAACCCAAATACCAAATCCTATGACAAAGTATAAAGTAACCAAATTAACTAATCAATCAATGCAACTGTAAAACTTACCTGAGTTGCATCAACTGATGGTGGAGTTGGATATATCATGTAGTCACCAACTGACGGAGGCCCGCCAACACGTGCCATCTAGAAAATTTTCACACATATTTATATTTGTTCTTGCTAAACTCCACAGAAATTATTCAAATATGAAACAGGTTTTCAAATTAAAACTTGTGAACTAAAAAGAAAATCATAACAAACCACATTTGCAACGGTTCCTCCCAAAATCTGCGTAGGCTCAACTCTTTCGTTGCTTGCTGGAGGAGATAAATGCACCGAATCAGTTACAACAGTCTAAAAAAAAACCAATATTGAGAGAAAGAAAAAAGACTCAAAGATAGTTATGAATGAACTGAATTACATATGTTAAGGTTTTCAAAGATTTAAATTATAATTTTCAGTATACCAGCAAAGGATACTGCAGTGGAAGTTTTGGAAAACAGAATTTTCGACTTTCTTTCTCGATCTATAGCAAATTGATCAAATTATTTCTCTCATGAATGATTTCTATCAGATCTGGAAATCTCGCACACTATCTCATCTCTGAATCTGATCTCAATTTAATTACATTCTTTATTAAAACTATAAAACTTACATCAACCGGACTTCTTCTTTCGACCATTGTAATGGCGGATGGATTACAATCGTCAAGGAATAAAGGCTGAGTATCACAATCCGAAGTGAAAATACTGGGAGTTAAGTTAACACCTGCATTTGACGGCATAGCTGACCCGACTAAAAAAAAATATCTCAATAAATTTTCTGAAATAATTTTCAAAATTGTATTTTAAAACAAATTAAATCAAATACTTTCAAATCCGATTTTTGGATTTCCATAGCGCGCACAAAAACAAGTATAAAGTTTTACGGCCAACGTTTATAATGTTACATCGCGACTAAACGTTATTTCAGGTTTTCACGACGTCTAGATATACTTGAACCATTTATCCCTATTGACCAGGTAAAAAAAAAAAAAAACTAATTTCTAGTAATAGATAATATTTTTACCAATATTTAAAGTAAAAAACCAACTTTGTGAAAATACCGGCAAACTGCGCAAAACGTCCTGCGACTGGGAAGTTGAAACATTAAGAGAAGATCTAGTGTGCGGTACTGCGTTTGAGGATTCGACTACTTCGCCATTGATCTCCGATTTGCATTCACGCAATTTAAAGTTACTAGGGCATGTGAAGTTAATGTTATCATCGTCCTCATTGTCTTCCTAAACAAATAAAACCCATAATTAAAGTCTAGAGTTCAATTCTTGATTACCAATATGCATTTAAAGGATTCCTTAACGACTTCGCGACAGTTTTAAGTAAGATATTCTAGTAATATTCTAACATTCTATCCTCAGTTTGTCTAAATTGGTTTCTAAAATACCCCAAAAAAGAGAAAAATTATATATATATAGCTAAAACCTCACCCACAATTTCTGAGATATGTGTAAAAAAAACGCTCTCCTTTAGAAAAAAAAAAAACACCTACACCAACTTTTGCTGTCAGAAACGACACATCCAGTGATTCAATACCACTCCATTCTAGCTTCTCATCTGCTTTTCGCTTTCGTCCTTTAAGTTTTTTGCCCTAAAAAAAGATTAAAGCTGGGATCTGTGGCTTCAAATCATTAAATTTTAATGACTCAAATTGGGAGCAGTTATCGCAATCGTAACAGAGATGGCTTTCCCAGTCACGAAATTCAGTTCTTAAATAGATTAAACCAGTCCTATTTGTTTATCAACTATTTCTTTTATGATTAGCCTGTTGCCACTACGCGAATAACAAATTAGAGTCCTATCTACATCTGAGAAATAATGAACTTTCAATTTAATTTTGAGAACAAACCTTTTTTAACCGTAGGCTGTTAATTAAATTAGGTTGTTGATCTGTAATTGTAGGCGTATGTTTCCCAGCTGATGACGCAAAATCATTGCTTAAACAATCTTTTGACTGCATACGACCCAATGATTCCGCTTGGGATGTATCACAAGCTGGAGAACGTGGCCTAAAATGGTTTACTTCATTGAGGAAAGAATCAAACAATCCAGTGAACTGAGATCGATCATTAAGTATTGCAATAGTAAAATCTTAGGTAAGAAAAAATTTATTATGATGTGGGAATTTTATGTTAATTCCTATTAGCGTAAGGCAAACATAAAGCTGATTTATCCCTCCTGAACTTAATCAAAAAGTAAATATCAAATATCGAAGAGGTTTACCGACTAGTAGGACTTAAATTTTGATAGATAGGTTTACAGCTTCCAATTTTACCAAACATTTGCACAGAATTTCTTTGCACCCGTCGACGTTCTGGAGATTCCATTATCGTTGAAGCATCTGGTGTTTTCGGACATATGTGCCTATCTTCTGCAGAGCATAGTGATCAATAACCAAATTGTTTGAATTAAAGCATAATAAAATTAATTCAGCAAAGTTAAAACGCAATACAGTCAGTTATGCAGAATTAATCAAATAAAACCACAGATTTTAGTGAATCTATTTGCTCATTTTTTATTATTTTCGATATAGTAAGACTGTTGAGTTAAATGATGTTATCAAAAATAAAGCTTCATTACGTATTCGAAAAATATTTACCATGCAGTAGGTCCGCGCGCCCAGATCTTGAACTGCTTCTGGAATTACGAAAATAGCTTTCACGTATCCAGTCAAGATTATGCTCACTATCTCCGGTTTCCGAACTGGTAGCTAGAATTTTCTTTTCCCAAGGTGGTGATCGTGGAGGCGATGGAGATCGTGTGCAGGATGAAGAACGTCGATGAAATATAGCTGGTCCCCTACAAAGTAACACTGATGGATATGGATAACCTCGAGAATATAGTGCAGAAATCATGAGCAAAACAGTTCTTTCCTAATATACTCTTAACCAGTTCATGTTCTTTTATTCTTTTTAATAAAAAGATAACTAACTCTTTCTTGGCTTCCAAACTGGAATTCGAAAAATTAACGGGTGTACAACATGACTGATTAGACTCCTGGTCAATACAAGTGTCTGAAAATAAAATCACTCATGAATCCCTCAGATCACTTATAAAAATATTGAGATGTGCGATTTGGCTATTGTTTTTTGAATCAAATTAGACTAAAAGTTTTACCATACGATTTCTGCAAAAATCATACAAAAAAGTAAACGAATGGATAGGATAGATGATTATAATAAATTCTAAGCAAATAAATGTTCAAAGGTCAAATAAATACATGCCTTGTTGAAGTGTTATACACTGGGATGGTAGATTGGGTAGAGCTGTAGCACTACTAGACTGTTGCAAACGACAATGGTGGCAACCACATCCTTCTTCACGATCCTTTCGTCGCATACCATCTGTGAAATTCCACCTTGAAAGAAATTGATAATATTTGTATAACAATATTTGATCCAAAGTAGCGAAATATTTGCACAAATGTGAACAGTTTTTAAGCCACTATAGAGAACAATTTTACTGATGCAATGGATACATTGCACTTGTTTAAAGGTCGAAAGTATGTTCTAATTTCAAAAAATTCAAGATTAAAACTGAATTGGAAAATGAAAAGAATAATTGAGTAATAAATAAAAAGTACCGGCAGTCATCATCATTTGCAGCAGCTGACATTAAAAGGCCTAAACCAGACGAGGATGGCGATTCTGTGCTCTCTTTTCGCCGACTGCTTGCCGGAGCAATGAAGGATTCTTCAAAAAACCTTAAAAGTAACACTTTATTGGAACATTTTTCGACCTATAAAGCTGTAGAAGCTTTCTTGTATGAAAATTGTTTCTCAGAAATTTCCTTAAGTCATCAAGGAAATGATTTGAAAAAGATATTCAAATAAAATATAAAATGGTTGCTTAATCTACCAATATTCACAAATTCATTTTAAGTGACACTTATATCTTGCCGTTGTATCTCTTTTTCATTAACACGAAATATATTCAAACTCGATTTTTTTAAGTAATTTAAAATTTAAAACATAAATTGGAAACTAATAATAATAATAAAAAAAAAAACCAACCTTTGCGCTGCTCGTGCACCATTCACCATCGTCCCATACATTGCATTATGCCGTTCAGCATTGGATCCTGTGTCACATTCGCTTAGCCTTTTTTTTCGTTTTCGGAATGACGGAGTACTTCGTAATCTCGCATGTCCTCCAGTAGCCGGTGGTGTTCGTGCGGTAAAACTGCTACTGTTACTTCCACTGTTGAAAAAGTCAGAATCGTCATCATTGATAGTTTTTTCATTCTGTCTAAAATAGTTCACAAGGTTTGAAACTTTTAACCCTTAATGAAAGGTAGAAAAACAGATATATGATCAAAACAGATAATTCATTTCTAACAACTCCAAAGACAAAACAAGATTGTTAATTAAATTTTTTATTTTATGAAATAATGCCTCAATTCTAAATATTCTTTAAAATCAATCACATCCGATAGCAATAATAACAAAAGATGAACCTCAACAACAAATCATCAGAAGCCTGGACAACAATTAGTGAACTTGGGTACCACATATGAACGCCGTCCACATCTACCAAAACCATCTTTGGTAAGCTATTTTTGGCTGGCGATGTCTGCAAGAAAAAAGTTATTTAAATTTTTACACTTTTAGTTAAGCTAACCATCTAACCAATTTTTGTAACATGATTGATGCGGATGCTTTTTTAGATAAAAAATCCAGAGCATTAGTTCAACTGCTTCCGATATTCATTGTCACTACCAGAAGACCTGCCACATGTAGAAAGTAGAACGATTCGACAATAATGAAAAGAGCTTCCTGTTATTAAGGAAGTGGATAAATGAACTTCTGAAATTTTGAAGAGAAAAACTAACATTTTCAGTGTAGCCAATGTAGCCAACAGTATCTGCTGAACCTAAGTTCCTTTCAACATTAACAATTAAACAGAAGAATTGCAACCATTCAGACCATAATTTGTCCACTGCAGCTTTTGAAATAGTTCCTGCACCGTCATAACTATTACTAATAGTGTCGGAATCGATCGACGACGATGGAACAGGATTTATTTGATGTGCAACAGAGGATAAACTGGTAAAATTACCTAAAACAATGACTTTATTAACATAAGAATTCAAATCGAAAATATATGATACAAAAAATATAAGGTTGAGAATAACTGGGCTGTAATTAAATGTATCTCTGATACCGTAAAAAATTCCAGGAATGAAAGATGGGAAGTAATATTTACCATAAGCTCAAGTGACAAAATCGAACAATCACAACGATTAGAACAGGTAATAATTTTAGGACTAAAAATCAATTGCGAGAATGATCAAATCCACAATGGCCTGAGGCGAAAAAAAAAAAAAACTGATGTTGAAATGAAAAATGGAAAAAACATAAAACAAGCCAATAAAACACGTGAGCTGAAACATACCGTACTGTGATGCAGAAGACTGTTGTTGTAATAATGGTGTAGTAGAATCCACAATCCTCGGTTGTTCGGGTAGTAATACAGCGCGCATTGACCATGGACCCAATATCACCGGTTGTTTCTTACCCAAATCCAAATGACGACGTGAAAGGCGAAATAAAGTAGGCTGGCGTTGTACAGAAACTGTTGCACAAACAATATTTTCGCCATGAACGAAAAAATTGAAACTGATCCCATTTACATAGCTGGAAATGAAGTAACTCTAAATGAATTTAACCTCACGCAACGTTATATAAACTGAAAGAAAGTCAGTCATATAAATAAAAGGTTAACAAGCAAGAAAAAAGATGAGCAGAAAAAAAGTTCATTCGAATACAAAAAATAAAAACAACTCAGTCTTCTCAACCTTCTCTTTTCCTTCTTGCCAACTAGTATAAGGATACAGACTATGTTCCATTGAAAATAAGCAGACAAATACAAAAATTTTCTATTGAAACTTTTATAAAATAAAACAATAAAAATTGTTTACCAACGGCTTCAAAAAGTTCAAGAAAAACATACCTGGGAGAACAGTGTATACGATCGGACGAAGGCACTTCATAAGGACGTGTAAAATATTTTCCAATACGAATGTATCCATTTTTTAGCATATTCCTAAAGACAATTTTTAGGAATTATATTGATTCCTGAATAGAACACAAAAAAGAAATCAGAATGGAGTTAAAACTAAATACTTGATTTTTTACAAATTTCCAATACTGATTAAAATTGCTGCATGCTTCTCCTATAAAAATTGTTTTTTTTATGACGCCGGAAAATGTACAAAAAAAGTAAAAAGATCAATTTTCAGAAACTATTCAAGCTTTTAAAAATGCAACAGGAAGATATTTGAAGCCACTAAAATTGAATCCCATCGTGATTACAATCATAAGATCCCGGTAGAATTATCTGAACTTACCGCTCAATCAAATTATGTAGTGCCTTGAAGAATAGTGTTCTCGTCTCATACTGTATACCGGGTACCGACCAGTTACCTTGACCATCTTCAGAACCTGAAAACCTCACATTAAAAATAAGTTTCCTTTTCCCAAATACCAAATACTTGTATGTCTCCATTGACAATATATTCAAAAGAACAGAGATTACCACCTTCCTACCGCAAAGTAACGAAATCATCGTTATTATTTATTTCAGCTTATCCATATGGTTAGGACGTTTTTAGAATTTACACCAGCCAAATTTCATCAAATTTCGGTAAAAATAGTTCAGATTTGCAATTTAACTATATATTTATATATAAATATAAAAACAAACAAACAGTAGAATGAACAAACCACTGAATAAAAAGAAAAGAAATAAAAGAACAGGAAAGAATCAAAAATATGAGTCTTGTTTGATCTTGTCAGATTTTGTGTAGCATAAAGCAAGGTTTTATTCCGGAATTTGGAAATGAAAATGACTGTCATTATTGTCCATATAAAAAAAAGATTGCTTCATAAAAGTGAAATAAAAAACACGAACGACAGATCAAAGATTAACGTGTTAGAAAAAGAAATGTTAATGTCATAAAATATTTTAAAAAATCAACTTAACATACATGCCAAATGACTGGTATATTCAGTGAGACAATCCGGTTCCTCATGACTGTACCAAAAAACCCACAATTCTTTGACAACATCTATTCTATAATCTGGTAACTGCATAGCTGCAAGTGTCCCAGTTGGTTGCGGTGGTTGTCGTCTCCAAGCACACAGAATTCCTGCTTGCAAACATCGTGCATAAGCACTTAATACGGGATCTTGCTCTAAGCTTGTCCAGGTTCTTTGTGATAAAGGAGTTGTTAAGCATTTCCATTTGAGACCATTCAATTCCGTCTGAAGAAAAAAAACGAAGCAAATATTTTTTATAAATTGAATACCTTTTCTGTTTTTCATAAATTAAACTTATCTTTTCATTTGATTCCATTTAGAAATTTTAAAAGGAAGAGTTCCTCTTTTTTCTTGTTTTTTAACAGTCTTTTTTCAATTGATTACCAACTTTTTATAATTCCCAATCATAATGGGTATGATATTTCTTCTTAATGAGAGCATGAAATGTATCTTGGAAGAATTTCAAAATACGGATAGAATTAAATCAATCCATTTAACTAGCTAGTGAGGAGACTATAGGTACTTTCGCATTTCTCTTCAATACTTCTTATACTATCCACATCTCATATAAAAATTTCATACCTTCTTTTCATTTTAGCACAATTATTCATTCCCTTTTGCTGCTTATAATAACTAGAAACTTCATACTATCCCTTTCTTTCTCTTTCCCCATTCATCACAACCTAATTTGCATCGACAAGCGAACAAGGAAATATGCATCTTCCTTCAAGAAGCTAAGCACAAAATAAGGACTTTGTCAAGATTCATGCTTCCACCAATAATCAATATTAACGATGATATTCCCTGTTGACAATGAAAAGTCCTTAGAGAGATATTGAAGTATGTTCAATTTCGTTTACATCTGTTATCTCTTAAATGTCAAACAGCGCATTAAGCACAAGTCCATTATGATGTCATAGGCCTAGCCTTATATAATGACAAATAGCTTCCTGATTTTACCTAAATAATGCCAAACACAAAACCCATAATACTAATGGTTCTCACTAAATGTATAATTTCGACGAAATACACAATTTCACAAGAAAGGAAGTCACAAAGGTGTAAAAGCATCCGTCCTTTTAATATTAATTTTCATGAATACTTACAAACCGAAAATTTTAATTATTGTAAATTGAGTAGAATTATTTAATTGTTGGTATTCGCAGGCCTATTTTTGGAAGCAAACAAGTTGGGTGGAATCAGAATTATGAACTGTCGAAAAGTTACATATATTTTTAGTTCATACTTACCAAAGCAAAGACGTTCGTGTGACAATCTTCAAGACTTCCACCATTGGTGGACATACTGGAATTTGGTGAAATTTTTAATTATCACCAATAAAATAACATGAAATACACTAAGAAATAGATTATGTAGCAGCAATAAATAATAGCAGTACAAATAGTAGTAATAATAGTGGTGGTAGTAAAAGTGGTAGTAGCAGTAGTAGTAGTAGTAGTAGTAGTAACAATAATGGTGGTGATGAGGATAGTAATAGTAGTTGCAATATCCAAGAAGTGTTATAGTAGGAACTGGAATAATCGCAGCGTTTCTTTTAACAGTGAAAATGAATCACAGTTATCCTATATGTCCACTTCACTAGAAATATGTTTCAAAGAAGAAAAATGAATTATTGCTAATTTTCTTTTGGCCACTCTTTTTTCTTGGCTACTAATACAATAAGCTTTGTAGTAAGGGAACAAGAATAATAGGAGAATAGAGCTGAGTGAAACTGGACACAACAGAGAAAATAAGAGAATTGAGAACAGCAGGAAAGAGTAAGTCACCAGGATTCGGGCGCGAATATCCGGGATTTGGTGACGCTTAAGGTAGCTACATCTAGTGCTACCTTATTCCAATTTACGTAACATTCTCCTGGTCCTTGTAGGGACATTCGCGCCAAAGCTTCGTAATCCGAAAGACCAAACTGTTGACAGTGGTTCTGGTGATCGTCGTAATGACGGCAAAAACTTTCTCCCCTTTCCCTTTCTTTTTTTTTCCAAATAAATCTGTAAAAAATGAAGCAAGATTTTATATGCAAAGAACTTTTTTTACAAATTAAATCGAACGTAGCAAACACAAGTCACGCGTCAATGATACTCTTACAACATCATCAAATCGCCATAAAATTTCGTCACATTTCATGGTGTAATCTACTAGCACTTTATCAGCTTAGTGTAATCTAACCTTTGTTCTAGGTGCTAATCAGTTCTATCGTTTTAAATCCAGTGTATCGTCTCTCGAAGAATCACTGTAGATTATTTCTGCTCTCTCATTCTTCCTTTCCTCTTTGTATCACTACTTCTTTAACATTCCTTTCATATTACAAAATTTAACAACTGTATTAGAGGATCACTATCTAAATTCTCTAAGCATCTCTCAATTTCGTTAGCCACTATCTTCCACTGCAACTAGCAATAAAATCCTTCTTGAACGAATACTTTGAATCGAATTAAACTAAAGCAAAATATTATTTAATTAGCTATGTCAACATCGGTCAAGAAAACAAAAAATCGGCAAGCCATATCCACACGAAATTTTTATTGAATACGTTAAAAAAGCAACAATATCCTAAACTAATCATCGGCGTTAAAATTTTACTAATACCAAGGATAGATGTTCTCCATTGATAATTAAAACCATAACCATAACTGATGATTAAAATTACAAATTCATTAATACATAAAACCATATTAATCATCCCATCACTTTTCTTCCGAACCCCGCTGTCCAATATCACCGAAATCCTCACAAATGATCAACTCCACCTAATTCTGATTTATTGCCTTCTACATCCTCATCTCCAAGTTTTCCTTCACTTTAAATCTCACTTAGATTACAATCCCTTTTGAAAAGTGGCAAAAAAAAATGTAATTGAAAGTTATTGAATGAAAATTACGAACAAATACTCCCATTTAGTTTTATGTGAAAATAAAAGCGCTGTACATCGCAAAATCAACTTTAAATCATTTCGATTTCATTGCTATACAAACGTAGCTACCCTTTCACTTCCCGAAAGCAGCTGAATAAGCATTTCAAAAAGGAAAGAAACGATATCAATCAAAATATATATTTTACAAAAAAAAAAAAAATTTGTTGGAACGAAACAAATTACTGAAATAATTGTTAACTTATATAATGATTACCTTATATCTGCATGAATTACCAACTAATCTTACCTTATTTATAGAAACAACGTTTTACTATATTTTCACTGATTATAAATTGGATAATACCTTAAGGGAAAAATCCAGTTTCAGCCCACATGGTTGAAATTTTATGAAAATAAAGCGTGTTTTGTAGAACAAAATGAAATGTAAAAATAAAATAACTAATTGCTAGTCAAGGACTGCTTTGAAGTTTAAAAAAAAATGCACTTTTGAAACAACAGGAAGATGTTTCACGCTAGAGAGAAAAATCTTTCCCAACGACTCACACGCCAAATGTAATACTCGTCAAAGCCGTTCAATGCATTCCTTTTCACTTTCCGAACTATTTTAAAATACATTTCTAACGTATATATAAAAGTACCTAAATTATTAATTTTCCGATATATTTTCTAGCAGCAAGATCGGCTTTCAGAAGTGTATTTTCAGCATTAGCACTGTTATTAAGAAAAACTTTTAGCATCAAGACTATTTATTACTCTGAAGTGCCTCATAAAAGCATTAATCCGAAAGCCTTTTAAAATTAATGTCAACGTTTCGACAAAAACTGCGTTTTTAAGGGCAAATAATTAGCCCCTTACTAATTCATCCGACCAGTACTAGATATAATGTAGGATATGGAAATGCATGACATCAGTAAGAATGCTATCTCAACATTTTACAGAACAATAAAGACATGAATTATTAATGTTGAAACCTACAACTTTAGTTAAGATTAATTTCTAATTAGTGCTCAAAAATGTGTGAACATAATGCTCTCCATTGTTTAAACAGATAATAAACATTTCGGCTAACAAGAATAACTGAATAAACCTGCCAATATTAAAAATAATAATAGTGGTAATAATGATAATAGCAATGGTAATAATAATAGTAATAATAATTAGTTGTAACAGTAGCACCTATCACATGCAATAAAAAAAAAAAAAAAAAAATATGAAAAAATCTGACCAGTGTATGTGTCGATATATAACTTCCAAAAGCAACACCGGAAACATTTTCAAACTTTGATTCATTTGCGCAATAAATCTCACCTATCTGAGCAAAAAGAACGGAAAGATGAAACAGATATTTCGAATCAGTTTCGAAAATTTTAACTGCCACTACCAGTTACAAAGGGAAAACTCTCCTTCGTCCCTCTCCTTCTCTTTCTCTTTTTCTTAATGACAAAGGGATGAAGAGCAGCAGCAAAACGAGAAAATGTGCAATAACACAACAGAGACACACTTCATCAACGACGTGAAAAGAGGATTGAGTAAGAAATCAATCCCTCCTTCCTGCCTTTTGTTTCTGATTTTCAAAATTCTTTCTCATCATGCACAAATCAAATTTGAAATTGAAGTGCGACATTATCTAACCACGAATGTGCACAAATTTGTTCTCCCCTTAAAACATTTCAACCTACCAATCAGTGAATGAAGACAATGCCGACAATCTTAAATAGGAATACCATTCAGTAATTTTCTAATAAGCATATTCAGTAATTTCTCCATAGCTAGTTTTCCTAACAAGCATATTATTCAGTAATTTCTTCATAACTAATTTTACTCCTTATTGATGTATACTGGATGTTACGCAATTCACAATAGTTCAGAGGGAAACTGAGAGTTTTTCAAAAAGTTCAGAGTGGTCATAGGAAAAATAACGAGAATCGAACGCATTAGTAATTGAAAAAAAAAAAAAAAAAAAAAAGTAGAAGAAATTTGCATCATCAGCGCCACATTATCACTAAAGGAAAACCAAGAAAAAAACACCTGAACAAACTATTAAAATTAAACTAATTTATGCAACAATTATTAGCTACAGCTTTATGCATAATTGTGGAATGCATTACTATAACGCTTTAAATGTTTTCATGAATCGACTAATATGAAAATATATTTAAAAGCGGGAAAGAATAAATGCTAAATGAAAGTTTACGACAAAGAAGAATGACAGAGTATTTCGCTCTGTTTGTAATTCATTTAAGATTTGGCTACTTTAGATGCCATTTCTATGAAATCAATGATAACGAAGCTGACGATGGCAATGACGACACTGATTAGAACGAAAACTGATAAATCTCGTAGCGGTGACAATAATATATACATTGTACCCTATGGGACATTTTTTGTCGTGCGATATGTTTCCGCCTTTTCCATAATAAGTAATCAGATGTTATTTAATCTTAAAAGTTAAAATTACTGCAAAAATTGAACAGAAATAGAAACGAATAATAAAGTAGCAGCTGTAACAGCAGCATAGCACCTCACCATTTTGATGATGGGCATTATGTATGTGACGATTGTGGCACTAACATACTTATTCTCCGATTATTCCTCCTCCTCCTTCCTTCTCCTCCTGCCACTGCAACTGTTTCCTTCTTCTATTGCTGCCTGAAATCGACAACGACACCGATGACGGTTGTAAAACGATGGCGATGACGATTTAAGCGGTGATAGTTGTCCTACTCGTTTGGCGTCCGATCAACCCTTCCTTTCCCTCCCTAACACGACCATCACCATCACAATCATCATCATCATTTGATGATATTTCTTACAACTATTATTTCTCTCTTCCTCTCTTTCTTCCTTCCCTCCTCATTTGTCTCCTCCTTTCAGTCTCTTCAATTTTCCTGAGCTAACTTATTAAACTAAACTAAGCCAACCATCTAATCTGGCAGCACCACCAATGACAACCCTCAAAAACCATTGCTATTCAATGGTCGGTCGACTGCACATATCACATACACACACACACTACACTAACATACACATTTACATCGTCACATACACAAAATAGAAATGCCATTTTGCATCAAAATGGATTGAAATGGCAAATATATGAAGCACCATCACCCGCAGAAGCATCTACAACAACACCGTTAATTGTCCCTCGTCTCCTTCTCTTTACCCTAACACCTGCTCCCATTAAACTATGCTTGCTGTTGCTCGCTTACACACGCATACAAAATATATGTTACATATATATGAAATGTATATGTAGATTGATATTTATATATAAAATATATATCAATCTACACACATAAATAACATATACTCACATACTTACACATACACACACATACATACATGCACATACAAACATACACATACACACACACACAGAGATTATTCAATATTATAACTCGTTGCCCTATTTTTGTTGTTGCTATTGACCATGCGCTGCTGTTGATGATGCACTTCGACAACTTAGAGCTTTAAAGGGCTAATTGTTTGCTATACTCAATCTTTCCTTCTCTTCCTCTTCGTCTCATTCCTATCCCAAATTGAGGCAAATCTAACAGAGACCACAAAATAAATTCATCCGCTATACAATCCCATCATCTTAAAAGCTCCTTTTTTCTTGAACTAAATATAAGCAACTAGCACTGCAGTATACACAACAAATATATCTTATCTTCATGTTAACATATACAGTATTTATCAACACATACACCTACTTATTAACCTATTCAAACATTGATGTAAGAATTGACATACATGTAAAGTACAGTTCATCCGAGGTTAATTATATTTGGAAGAGAAATAACCTAACATGAGTTAATATGAGTAATGGAACATTGAATATGTTGTGATAATTGAACTACTTGCTTATTTTAACAACGTTTTGATAACTCACCCTTTTTTCCTCAACAAACCATTCATTCATTCACCCATTCATCACTTTAAACAATAACACCACAACTTCTACTGCCGCTATCAATACTAATAGCAACAATGACAACAACTAATCATTCATTATTAATCAACATGAAACCAATAAACTATACCACACATAATTCAATTTTACGTCTCTTCTTTACTTATTTCTATTAATTCTAGATGTGTATTGATGGATAGATAGATGTGTACATACGCAAACAAATACAACACATATATTCCAAGTACACAGATAGACATACACATATATATATATATATACAGACATACGCATACAAATATATGACAAGTAATAGATCAACTTCAATCAAACAATCACCTGCATGTGTCGCGTCCTCGAGTTGAATGCTGAAGAATGGATGGATGACTTCTGGCCATCATGTTGCTTCCTATCATTTGCTTGATCTCTCCGACGGTTCCTCTACTGCTATACGATGACCACAAATACTACAACTTACACATACATTCGTGCACAAGTACGTACATACAAAAACACACCACACACATACATACATACACACGCATATATATATATATACGTACTTGCATACACACTTAACAACCAGAAAAACGATACAAAATGTGATCGCAACTGTAGGGCGAAGAAGTGCGGGGGGAAAAGGGGAAAAGAGAAACAACAAGCAGGGAAGGTTGTCGAGGAAAGAGGATGTATGGATAGCAAGGTGGAGGGTGTGGTGTCGTGTCAAGTGAGCAATAGTTACGGGGTGAAAATTATTGAACGAACGAACGAATGAATGATCGAAATGAAATTGCTACTGTTACACTCTGCTATCTTCTCATTTCATATCATATCATATCAGAACCACTATCACTATCACCTCCATTAACAATAACAACAGATAACTAACATCATTACCATTACTGTCTTATCCTAATTCTTCTTGACCTTACAACATTCAGAGGTCAGGTATTGAAATAGTGCGGCTATCTTCGAAGATTTTTATCGTTCAGTTGAAAACTAATATATATCTTATAATCAAATACTAAGTGGGATTTCACACTCATTTACCGGTGCAACACAATTAACAACACTATTACAATATAAAATGTGATGTGTGAAGTTAATTCTAAATACTGTAAATACAATGGAATAAATTACGCACTTACCAATCGTTTCATAATATTACAAAAGATTACACAACAATGTTAACATTCACACTTGCCTGATCATTTTGCTTAGGATTGTTTTTTGAATATAGCCGTAATCCTTTGTCTTTCTGAAAGCAGTACACGAAATTCATTTATCCACCTACTATTGATCAACGTATCTGAAATATCGACAAGTGTCAAATTCATAACAAGGAAAATCCCTCTTCTTAAATTTTTCTTTTTCATACCACCTGACTGCGGCTATTGTACCTAGCAGAAATGAACTTTTAAAAACAACCAAAATGCAGACAGAACATTCTATCTGTGTGTATGTGTATATACATGCATGTGAGTGTATCTATAGGTTTAATGACGATGATCAGTCGTAGAAACTCGATCAACAAAACTTCGTCTGTTCTTTTACCACCACCCACATATACATTTCACTCCTTACACTGCCACATTATTCCCACCATCATCACCACTATTACCACACCATCACTACCATCGTTATTACCATCATTTGTCGTTCTGCTTTTATCATCTAAAAAAAGAATTAACTCTTGAATTAAAATACACACAAACATACATACTTATACATAAACTAGAAAGCACATTATAGCACAACACATCGTAGATTTCTAAAACAAAATATCGAAAATGTTACTCTTTTTTCCCCTGAATTCTCGAATTTGCTTCTCTCAAAATATAACACCCATAGAAAAATAAAAAGAAATATTTCACACTTTGATACATTTATCAAAAACAAAAACAAAACTGAAATTGAAATGATTACACTTTGACTGAATGATCTAAGAATGAAGATATTACAAATTTAGTTCAAAGTTTTCTTTTTTTCTAAATCTTCCTAAAGTTTTTTCATATTCTCGTTAACAATAAATTCCGTAAAATTTTGCTCTTTTTGTCCAAGAATAGTTAGTTAGACAATTTTAAAATGGTTTCATATTTTACCTAAACTATTTTTTTTTTTTTTTTTTGTTAAAAAACACTCTAATAAAATTACAATGAAACAATTTACATTACACTTTCTTTAGAAATTATAAATCGCTGCATAGTACAATGGGAAGTCATTTTTTTTTTTTTTTTTTTAAATATAATCAATATAAGTATAACATAATGCATAGACAATATACAAATATATCAAATTGATTTTCAGCATTATCAATTTACAAAAACACTGAAATTAGCAATGATGCTATTGTAAACATGTAAAAAAATAAATCATTAACTATTTGCTTTACTTTTCACTAACTTTATTTATTACTTGCTTCCACTTAATCGTCCCAATTTTTCATTTGTAATACCCATTCCATCTTAACCAAACATAGTTTACACTTTATTTCTTCATTTATAAAGTCTGAAAACAGTCATCAGTATGTTACTTTTACATTTATTATTACCTACTGTAACAATTAATGACTTACTTGTTCGTTAAGTAATGATGCAAAACTTGATACTATGTTTCAACTTCCTCTTCCATTCATCTGCATAATCGTTTATCATGCGATCAATATGATCACATGAATTCGATCAACTCATCCATTAACTTTCTATTTCTTCAAGCGAAATGATCTATTTGAATGTTTCACAAAATATTTATGTGAATTTTTAGAAGTAAAATTATACGTAAACATAAAGCAGAATTGACAGCAAATATAAAAGTTAGAAAAATAAGAATTATTCGTACCTGAACAATATGAATAATTAACCGATATATTCGTTTAAACAGATTTATAATATCCATAAGCTATAATGAACGAGTTAGTTATCGACGTATTTAATAAACAATTTCGTATCGCATTTTCACGTAAATGTATTATCAAATTTCACGTAAACGATACTAAACGTTAATAGCAAAGCTATAAAAGTAGCATTCTCTACCATTATATTAAAAATAAAACAAGGACAAGTTTTACATTTTATGTATAATTCAAATTATTACACTTCTAAGCAAATCATTTGAATATCAAATTTTTAATAGAAATTTTATTACTCATTTCTCTTGTTACCTCTCTGCTCTTTGCATTATTCCAGTTGATTAGTTGTTGCTAAAAAAAAACAAAATATCAAATGTAGAATGGCGAAAACCGGTTGTCAACGGAAAAAGACCGGATGTCAGCAAATAAAGAATAATCAGTAAGCGAATGTTTTGCTCCAGAATGAAATGCTACCCTGCTTGATCTCTGCAGGATAATAAAATAATACACTTACAGACTACAATATGATTAAAAAAGGAAAAAGATTCAAATTACGCACAGTTTGTAATTTTTAAGCAATATGTTAAGACAAATGAAAAACGATTAACTTCTCCTCATTTTATATCAACCTATTTATTCTCATTTTAGGTTTGTAATCAATAATAAATAGAACATTGCTTGTTAAATTCAAAAATTATTTAATTTGAAATTACTATTATTATTATTACTATTGTGCAAACAGAATCAACTTTACACAATTAATTCATTCATTTTTTGATAAATCTGTTTTATTTTATTTAACAAATGGTTCTGTATGCTAACAAATTTAATTGAAATCAATGCTACTAATACTTTCTTATTGCTAAATAATACACTGACTAACTTATGCATCACATACACAAATATATATATATATATATATATATATACATACACATGCATATGTACTACACACATACATACACAGACACGCATGCAACAAGGAAACAAAGGAGAAGGACGATCCTGTCTTGTGTCTTATGACAGGCTGAACTGAACTGAATTGTATGTATGTGTGTTTGTATGCATGTATGTATTTAAGGAAGGAACTGTTTTAAAAGTTTTTTCATCAATAAAAAAGTGGAAGTATATTTCTCATCATACTTTTAAAATATAAGCAAAATGATAGTTCCATTTTGCTACTGATAATGGGAGATTATTTTGATAATTTTGAAAAGAAAAATGAAAATTTATGCATATCAAATATCTATCTAAGCATTGTATACATTTGAAATAAAAAAAACATTTCTTCAAAATTTCTAATTTTTACTTTTTAATTTGAATTTAAAACTCTGCCATAATGTAAACATTATAACTTACGTAATTTTCAACATTAAATTTCATCATTTGAAAAATTTCATGAAGTGTTTCATAAATGTTTCATACATTCCTCATCTGTGAGCTTTAAACTTTGCTATAATGTAAGGATCTGTGAATTATCGCATGTATTGAAATCTCAAATAAACAGTGCATTTAAACAGTATAACAACAAACAGGAACAACAACTAACAATAACAAATGATAACGAACAATAAACAACAACAATAAGAGATCAATATGAAATAACATTGGGGCATTGAATCAAATTACAAAGAAAGCTATCGCTAAAAAATGATAAGAAAGAAGGGTACAGGAATAATTCTTGAAATGCATCTATGAGAAAGCAGTGAGAAATTTAGAAATCTTTAAATTTGAATATTCCAAGCTAAATTATTTCACTTCTCATTTCTTTTTAACGGTTTGAATAAATATAGCACATCAGTAGCATTATTTGTCATCCCAAAACTAAAGGATCAAAAAGTTTTTAAATGAACAAACGTAACCATAATTTTGTTAGATCTTTCGAATTTGTTTACAACTGATAGACACTTCATCATCACTGTAATTCAAATTCATCTTTATCAAAAACCAAAAGAAACTCGTTAAATGTGTAAATTCGTAAATTTACAACCTAAGAATCAGAACTGAATTGAAATGAATATTGTTCAATGGATATCGTTTGATCGGTTTAGAAGAAGGAAATAGCGCTCGTTTGTATAGTTAAAAAAAAAAAAACAAGAAATTACTCTCACTCCCGATATATTTCATATCATAATTTAATACTTTCTCAATTTTTTCCCTTCAATATATTTCTACAATAAAACTTGTCATTCCCCTTTAAAAAAATATTAATTATTCTATTTCTAGTCTTTCCAACTCTCTCTCTCTCTCCTTTTTCTCTCTGTCCCTTTCTCTCTCGGCATATTTAAATATTAGCATAATACAACACAAATGGTACATAATATTAAATTGATTAGGAAACGAACAATTTTGAATATTTAAAATTTTGAATATTCTTCACATACACATACCTCCTCACATAAATTCAAACATACACATATCTCCTCACATACATTCATACATTCTTACATACATATGTTTAGACATACCTACATACATACGTTTTCCACAAAATCAACTTTGCATCTTTCTTGTTCCTATCATTGGAGACAAGCTTGTTTTTGTCATACTCTTGTTGCTACCACCGTTAATTGACATCTCGCACATACATACATATATACATACACACACACACGACATACAAATGTATGCATATACACATCATATGGATATGCATAATCATTAATCAATTTTTCTAAACTGAATTTGAATTCAAACAAAAGCAATCATTTATTTCCCGAGTAAACGTATGGATTAAGTTCCCAGGTACGTGTATGTGCCTGTTAAAATGCATAGCATGTATGTGTGAGGATGTAATACACTTGCGTATGGTAATGATATGTGTGTGTGTGTGTGTAGGAAACGATCATTAATAATAGCAATAATAGGAGGAAAAGCACGGGTGTTAAGTGATAAAATGACAACAGCAAGGCCAGTAGCCATTACCATCACTGCCACTGTCACAGCAGCGACGGCGGCAGCGATGATTGTCAAGTCACGCCACACCACTACTTATCACCGCCATCTTTTGGAAATGAAAAGGGAAAAATCAGGGGAATTGTGAATTATATGACCAATGAATTGGACATATTGTCGTCCATTTATTGCTTCTTCCGTACACTTTATTCTCTTTTATCGGAATAAAATTTGACAATCCGAAATCATCGGTTAATCGGACGTGATAAGATAGATACAAGTAAGGTATGAGAGAGAGAAAAATGTGCGATTCAATTAGCTCATATATGAAGCAATAAGTGAAATTATAAAAAATTGAAGTATTTCATTGTATCACATGCTTAATACAGAAGATTTCCTACCGGTTTGTATTTCGTTCTTCCGGAAAAGAAATTTAATCTAGCTGACACCCAGTAAGTTCAGATTTGCATCCAGTAAGTTCAGATTTGAAGGACGAAGAGATAATTGAAATGAAAGTAAGAGTACAACTTTTTCAACAAGTGAATTCTTGTCAGTGAGAGGATTGAATTGTCAAAATTTTTTCATAAATTTATGATGAACAGATTGAACATCTTCCGGAAACCGAAAAGGCAACAATGGATAATCTGCATCAACTAGATGATACAATATTGTTTTGAAAATGCAAATAATAATTCTGTGATGATTATTAGTCCATAACTGATCAATTCCATTTCATTTTTAAAAAACTTAATTTGCTTTCAAATTTCGAAAATTGGAAGGATAAAGTTTTGACGATTACTCAATTTGTACTAAAGCATTCGTGACAACTGAAACTGAAACTTACTCAATCCTCGTAGTTTACAATTGCACTTTAAAATTGTAATTTGTCGAGTTTCGTTGTATTGGAACAAAAAAAAACAAAAAGAAATATTAACCGTAATAAGTGTATTACGTAATAAGGTATGCATCAGTACTTTTACTATGGCATCAATAAAAATGAAAATTTTCAAAACTCAAAAGTCGGACATTTTTTTAAAAATTCATAAAATTAGGATACGATATATGTTATGTTATGTTATATGGAAGTGATCAGCATAAGAAAATAAGAGTGGATCAGTGATAAGAATGAAGCAATGATAAGGATGAAAAGATAAGAGTGGATCAAGGATAAAAATCATTGTCTACCAGTTCAAGTTTCGTTATTATAGATAATGTACTGATAACGTTGTAATCCCTTGCAAAGTTATATTTTCTAAAAATTTTCAGCTATTTAAAAAAACAATAGTGTCTTATACGTGAATTGATGATAAGGATGAGAAGAGCGATAAGTGTATGCATGGCATGTGTGTGTGTGTGTGTGTGTGTGTTCTGTGGAATGTTAACTGAATAGGTCTGTGCGTGTGTCTGTGCCTGTATGTGTCACATAACACTAGGTCAAGTGGTCAGTACTGAGAGGAAATAGAATGACTGGTAAATAGAATGAATGAATTGATGAAAGGACAAGATAATTTGCTTCTGCTTCTGCTTGGTGTATAAAATATATATGTGTATGTGTGTGTATGTCTGTGTGTGGTCTGTGCATGTTTGTGTGTGTATGTGTGTGTGTATACAGCTGAGAAGGAAAGTAGGGGAGAGAATGGAACGGATATGAGTATTTACATCCATCCGGCTTAATGTCCTGCGATCTGGTCTATCCCATATCAATAAGGTCAAATAAATGGCCAGTGCACATTACACATCACTCATCAATACACATACACACACACACACACCCATAGATAAGCCCGCTTACACACTTACACATACATACGCATAGACCCGTTGCACTCAAACATACAACCCACACCTACACATACCCATAGATCGGGTAGACTTACACACGTATGCACACACATACATATCCTAATATGTGTATAGTGTATGTTCACATAGAAGTGGCGCTGTTGTCAAGGAAGATTCACTTACCAATGCTCGTAAAACAAAATTGTCGTGATATATATATATATATATATATATATATATATATATATATATGCATGTGTGTGTATGTGAATGTCAATGTAAAGATGAAATGATTTTTGATTTAATTGAGATTAACTCACTTCTTTATTTTGATTACCAAATTGACGATGCGAATATCGGAGAGAATCAGGAAGAGGAAAGGGTAAGCGAAATTTATATGAATTTTTTATTTCTTGTTGAGAGAAAAATATCTTTTCTTCATTATTAATGATTTACATAGAGTATAAAGAGAAAGGAAGAAGAGCGGAAAAGCAGGAGAACAGGGTAAGAGGGAGGGCTGGGAGATAAGCGGGAGGCAGGGTAAGAGGGAGGGCAGGGAGATAGGATGGAAGAAGATTTCTAATATTATCTAATATCAAATTTCAGCTAATGATGAAACGGAAAAAGAAATGCAAGCAAACAGCTAATATTAAAGGATGACAGAGTTTAGTATTACAGTTAAAGAGTAAATGAATGAATATGAGATGTGCCAATTGCGCATCACTATATGATAGCTAAATTGCATTCATTTGTCCAATAGAAATTCCAGTCTCTAAAATATGTTTTCTTCCTAATAATAATCATTCATTCATTTAGTAACACATTACCACCGACAATTTTGGAGTGAAAAATAAAACATCATTCACGTCATTTGCGCCTATCTTACATTTATAATTCATTGATCCAACATTCATTGCTAATAAATTTCAAATTTCACTTAAGCGAATGCTTAAACGAACTAGAATGCATACAAATTAAGAATTTTGGATTGATGTTTGATTTGTTAATTAGTGCATAATCAAATTTATGTCATTCTATTTTCTTCAAAGTATTTAATTTGGAAAAAAACTTGCAAAAAGGAAGATGTAAAGTATTTTCATGGAAAATACAATTAGATTAGATCGAAATGCAATGTGACATCGAGGAAATTCGCATTACATTTAAACGTGAAATGAGACTTTAATGTATGCTTCAAATCCTTTTTTTTTAACAAGTTATGTCATTAAGATTTTTATGAGTTATACTATTTTACAGTCATAGTCATTTTAGTTATAGTGAAAGATAGAAAATTTTAAAATAAACTTTTAGATAGTTTCCAATTTTGATTAGTTGAAACTCGTAGCAGAAGTTTTAGAGATACAAAAGTATTGTCAGATAGAAGAATGGATTAAATATATGAAACTGAAAGACTTTTGCTACTAACATTACAGATGCTACTGCTACTAGTATTATTGCCGAGAAAAAAAAGAAAAGGTAGGTCAGGTCAGGTCAGGTCAGGTCAAATCGTATCTTCCAAATGTCGTTTAATAAGATGGGCGAATTATTAGCTTGCTGTGTTAACAAGTTACCTCATTCATTTTTCCTTCCTTCCTTTCTTCCTTATTTCTCTCTCTCTCTCTCTCTCTCTCAAGCTCTTTCTTTCTCTCTTTCTCTTCCACTTCAATTAATTAAATTGTTCCATGTGGAATTATCATATTTATGTTATTTGAAATTCAAACATATCACAGTAAATTTGAATTACTCTAATCATATCATTTTCTCACTAATTTTTTTCCTAATTTTTATGAAATTAAATGGAAAAATGTTGTGACACATTATTAATGTGACAAATTCTTTTAGCAAAATTATCATTTCAATTTGAAATGTTTTTTTATAAATTAAATATCTTTTAAATATAATAATATTTGATACTATTATTTAATGTGGGAATATAATCATCATTTCATCTTAACTTATGAATCATTTCAACTTAACTTATGAGTCATTTCAACTTAACCTACTTTTTTATGTCTTAAAAAAAAAAAAGTTGAAGACATTTTTCTTATCAACTCTGTCACTCATTCTCTCTCTGTCTCTTTCTCTCTTCCTCTCACTTTATCCTATAAGAATGAATAGTTTAAGAGTAGAAAAAATTAGAAATGAAATGAAAAGTTAGTCAAATATCAAAATCATTATAACATCAAAAGTCTCAATAATAAACTAAATTAGCAATTTGCTTCATTTAAAATACAAAAAATTAAAAAAAAAAAATTTGAAAAAAAGAAGAAAACTAATATTTCTATTTCACAGATTTGCAAAGTTTTACCTCTTTTCATTTCATATCCTTCCTGAAGTAAAATTTTTAGAGTTAAATTAGCAAAAAAATAAAAAAGAAAAGAAAAAAGAGAAATAAGGCAAATTGATTTGCCTTATTTTTTCACTGATATAAATCATGTATTTCTATATATTTTTTTCAAATTAAAATTTTAAAAAATAGAAAAAGAGGCAAAATTAACATTTTTATTAATTTTATCTTTCATCAAATAAAGCAAATGAATATGAAGCATAATCGATTATTTAATAATATTCCATTAATTTTTACTATTCTTTTTTCTTACCATTTATAAGCAATTTTTTAATTTATTCACAGTGATCTTATCATTTTAATTAATGGTATATTTCAATTTATACTTTTCAGATAAGCATATTATATTTGTTGTTTGGTATTTTTTTTTTTTTAAATTAAGTGTTAGTATTAATTTTTGTACTATTTGCACATAATTTTTCAATTTATTTGTAGCTAATCTTATCATTTTAACTAATAGTACATTCTAATTTTTATCACTTCTATTGATAATACAATCAGTCTGATCATCCTTATCATTCCTTATCTTAATTACAAATACTACTACTACCCGTATGCATAATTAATGGAATATTTCATTCTTATCATTCACTACTAATTATCTTATCATATGCATTCCTTACTTTTTCTCATCGATGCATTTTGTTACACTGAAAATTGAATCAAACAACATAATCGTTTGATCATTTCATCACTTAGTTGATTAGTTGGTAGTAGTAGTCGATTAATTCAATTAATATTGAAATTTCAATTAAAATGAAATGGTTGAAATTATTTTCTGTTTACATTTGTTGAATAAGTGAAGTGATAAGGATTTTCAAGACGAAGTAAATGATGATAATTTTGTTCACGTATCATCGAAAAAAAATAAAATCATTCTCTTCAACCTATTTTTGTTCGGTCATTGTCATCAAACAAATGTACAATTTCTTATAATTTTCTCATAATTTAATCTCACTCCTACCTTTCTCTTTCTCTCTCCCTCGCCCTACCTTGTTATCTTTTGTTATCATCATTATTATTAAATCTAGTTAACTGATTCAGGTAATCATTTTAGTGTCAGTCACTTATATGTGACAACAACCATTTATTGTCACATTTTCATTAATTGTTTATACTAAATTAAATACAATAAAGGTATGCTTACAAATGAATCACCTGTCGATGCTATATTATAGGTACTGCTTTATCATTTAGCAATAGCCTTTACTCAAAGGAGGCAACAATCAATAATAATCTAAGCCAGTAGCTTCAGTGAAAGAGATAGTACAGTTATTTGCATAGCAAATTAAATGCATTACAATTGTTAATACAATAATTAGTAATAACATTTATTTGTTCAGAATTTAAAATATAATTAATGTCTGTCATTTTTTTTACTGCAATTAAACAATTATTTCCCTTTAAAAAATTACAATAAAAAATAGTTTTATGAAAATGAGAAACAAATTTAAGTAAAAAATAAAATGGGCGATAATGCTTGTTTGAAATTTGAAAATGGAATTGAAAATGAAATCAATGAGATTAGTTGAAAGTAATAAAGTGATAATATTACTTAAAATATATGATAAATTAAGAATGCATAGTTCAATAAATAAGGTTCCTTTAAAATGTTTAATGAGAATGTATTCTTCAGTTGATAAGATTGTCTTGAAAAAAGCAAATTAAAATTTTAATTGAAGCGGAATATTGCTTAATCTATGCAACAACTTGAATTCTAATTAAAAATGAATTACTCATCAGATAAAATTATTTTGAAAGTACAAATCAAAAAGACTGATTAACAAATGAAACGATTCTGAAACTGTAAATGATAATAAAGCTATAAAAATATGATAAATTTATGATAACTATGATAACTTTGAAATTTTGATATAAGCAATACTTAAAATCAATACTCATTCTCCGACTTATTTACAATAAATACAATAAAAGATTTATTAGCAAAGTTATCAGATCTTCTATACAAACCAGTTATCACTACAAGTACATCTTATAAGCAAATATAATATTTAAATAAACTTTAAATATTAATTCAAAAGGATTTCTTTTAATCTTAATTGCAATAATGCTCAAAAAGCTTAATGACGATAAAAAGGAAAAACTTAAAGTTAAGGAACAATGTATAAAAGTATTTGTAATAATTCCTAGAATTGAGAGATTTCTCTCAGCAACGGGAAAAACCAGAAATTGTTTCCAAATTACAAAAATAAATAAACAAGTTTTGAACAGTAATTCAGTAACGAAAATAATAAAATTATGTCTAATTTGAAGCCTCATTAACTTCGCTACTGATTTACTGTTCAAAACTTAATTACTAAAATATTTCTATTATTCAAATTATCAAATGATCATAGGGTTTATTCACTCTTAAAAATTCCAGGATTTTCACAAAAATTAATATTCAAATCTGAAATATAGCCTAAGCCCAAGCCTAAGCCTAAGTTTAAGCCTAAGCATAAGCTTAAGCCTAAACCTAAGCGTAAGCCTAAGCCTAAGCCAAGCGTAAACTTAAACCTAAGCCTAAGCTTTATTTCATTATTGAAGTTGTTAAATGACAACACCGT